CTCGCGGGCGCAGCAGCGTGCGCCGCGGGAGACGCTGCGCTCGAGCTCGATGGGCTCCATCTCGGCGGGAGGGTCGTCGTCGTCGTCGTCGTCGTCGTCGTCGTCGTCGTCGTCGTCATCGTCGTCGTCGTCGTCGAACGGCGGTATGGCTGAGGTCAGCGCACTCGGTTGAGCGGGAGGGGAGGAGGGAGGAGTGGGAAAAGACGGGGGGGGGGAGAGCGAGGACGTGTTTGTTCCTCCCCCGAAGGTGTGGGCCTACAGAGGCCAAACATCGGCGCAAGCCCCGCTGGCCTGCGCAGTGACAGGCGGGGAGGAAGTTCCAGGTTTTCGGCTCGTGGTGTAAAGGCTTTCGGAGGTTTCCGTCGGTCCTCGGCGGTCTTCCAGCCTCGGGGTGGGTTGCAGCAGCTGCGCCTCGCCGAGGGGCGCCTGGGGGCTGCCTGGGTGGCCCCGAGCGGCTGCCAGAGACCCTAGGCACGACACGAAAGTCAGACGACGAGAGCCCGGGCTCCATCGCGGCGGGAGGGAGGCTAGATCACTGCTCATTTTTTCTTGGGCAAGCTATGGGGCCTCGAGGGCCCGAAGCGTCAGGATGTTTGTTCCTCAGGCAGAACAAGAAACAACGCCATAAACATACAATGTTCGCGCTCCGCGCGGAGCTCCAAAGTTTGTGTTTATGGTGTGTCCTTCTTCTTTGATCTTCCTCCCCCGAGGCCCGTGCGAGGGGTGTGTGTGCAAATCTTGGCCAGAGGCACGTGCGCGGACCAGGGGGGGCCAGGGAACGCATCGACACAAGACGAGGCGCCATGACATCTGCGGAGCTACCATGCCCTGGCCACGATACCCCCCCTCCCCCTAGTCATCACTCCCCTCGTGGACGCTCCCGCCAGGATGGGAGCGACGATGATGGGCCTGTTTCCCACCACCACCACCAGGTCTTTGATGGTAGAAGGAGAAGGAGGAGGAGGAGGAGGAGGAGGAGGAGGAGGATCGCACGCCACCGAGGGGGGGGGAAGAGAAAAAATCCGACAGTCAGCTGAAACAAAACGCCCGAGGGGGGCCCATCGGAGTGGACATTTTTGTCACCCTGACAGGAAGGCCAAAGACCTGTCAGGGGCCAGCGACAAGGCCCCCCAGGGCAACAACAGCTAGCCGTCTTCAAACGCCAAGTCTGCGGCAACCCTTTGCTTTTCCCGCAGCCTGGCCCCAAGCACTCGGGCTTCAGTTTCATTCAAACCGAACGCCTGCAGACAGTCTGCCGAGCAGATGGGGTCAGGTACAAATCCAGGGACCACCGAACTTCGCTGGCCCTTTCGCTGGACCCCTGGGCCGCCGTCCAAACCCCCAAAGACCTCCCGAGCCCGCTCCCCAGGCGACTTCCAGGGGCCAAGCTTAAAGGCGCGATTGGGATGTGTCGACCTTAAAACAGCGCGGGTGTTTTTGCGGCCAGGGTCTATCAGACTCGCTTGGGCCCCAGGGCAGACCGACTTGAGGCCTCTAGCTCCGACCGAGACCGTCGCATACCCTCCACACGTGGAGCAAAAAAATATTGGAGCGAGATCCTCACCGTGCAGCGGGAACTCCAACAGCTGGTGGCCGCCCTGCTTCCAGGGGGCCTGGTGAGCACCCCTGGCCAGGACGGCCAGGTCGGGGCCCAGGGGCACCTCAGGCAGGTCCTGGGAGGGGTCCGCTGGGGCAGGAGGGGGAGCAGCAGCAGCAGCAGATCGTCCCTCCGCCGCCTCCCTCCTCCTGAGCTCCTCCAGGTCCTCCTCCAGGCCTTCGCCGCCCTCGAGCGAAATGAGGGTGAGCCCCTGGGCGCCCACATTACCAAACACGCCTAGGTCGGAATAATGAACCTCGGCCCTGGTAATGAAAGAGGTGACCTGACGGGCCATAAACAGCATGCCTTTGACCACTAGCATATCCTGAGGGTCTTGCCTGCTGAGATCGGCGCCTTGCTTGGCCAAACGGTCGGCGGCGTCGTTGCCCGTTTTTTTTTTCAAACAGGCTGATCTTACCTTCCCGAACGTCATCCATGCTCGAATGGGCCTTGACCTTGCAGCAGCTCACCCCAGACAAATCGTTTTTAGCATACAGCTCCTTCCACAGATGCATACGCGTGTTGGCTGGACTCTCGGCCCAGCTTCTATGGCGACAGCACCCGAGAGTTCCTTTGCAGTCAGAGTAAAACGTGAACGTGCCAATTAAAAAACTCGTGGCCATGAAAACTGCAAAATCTTCGCCATCTCGGGCGACTTGGTCAGGCAGAGTGGCTGGCGGGACGGCTCCAAACCAGCCCGTGATCCAGCGGCGCTCGCTGTCATAAATGGCAACTCCCCAGCCTGCCGAACGCAAAGCGGGGAACATTCCATCGTGACCCGAGCCGTCACAGAAGACGTGAGCGTTATCCACCGCCAAACACGCACCCACTCCTTCAGCCCTGAACTCCCACGCTGGGTCCCAGGGCCTCCGCGCGAGCAGCTGACAGGGGTCAGGGAGGATGCCTCGGGCGAATCGCTCTTGCAGTTCAACTGGGCAGCGAGCAAGACGAGCAGCCGCTGCCTGGAGCTCAGGCGGGAGATGGTCTCGCCGCCAAGCTGCACGGGCAGGGCACTCGAAGTGCCTGTGAAAAAGGGTGCCTCTGGCCCCGTGACAGATGAGGCAGCCTGCCTCGAGCTGGGGGTCGTGCTGGTGAAGCCTGTGCTGGCACCAGTGCGAGCCCATAACAAGGCCTCTCAAGGTCCTCTGCTCCCGCGCCCCCCAAGCTCCACCCGTGCCCGACTCCGCCCCGTCATCGTCGTCTTGCTGCCGTCTGCAGTGCAGCCTCTCGTTGAGGGGGCGCCAAAAAAAATCGCCTAACCAACCCTTGCCTCCGCTGGTGTTGCTGAGGCCTCGGTGATCAGACAGGCGACGTGCAGCGAAGCGAGCACGGCGAGCAACGAAGGCAGGCGAGACAGAGGCCAGGGACCAAACCTGCCCTGAGGCCTCGCACAGTGTCCAGGGGTCGGTGAAAGTCAGACCTGCTCGCCCCGCAGTGAGGATTAGAGCCGCCACAGGGTCCCTGACCTGCGCCCATGGGCGGGCTTTTGACGCAATGGCCTGCCCTTGGGTAAAAAGAAATCGAAGCACCGAGGGGGACAGGCGATTGTCTCTGAGGATCTGCACATATGTTTTCAGAGCATCGGCTGTGACCAAGACCAATGGGCCTCGGGCCCAGCCGCCACGCGCGCACATGGGAGCTAAGTCCAGGGAGCAGCCGCGAGGCAACCGCCCTTCAGCGCGCAGCGCAGCTACCCTTAGTTGATTAAGTTTGCCGCCAGGGAGCCCTTGGATGTTGGCTCCCCATAGAGCCTTGGCAGAAACTCCAGCCCGAAAAACAAAGCCCGCTGGGGCTCCAGCGCTTCTGAGGGCCACGATTTTGCCGACCTTGGCTTGGGCGGCGCAGAAACGATCGTGATGTGTGCTTACTCGCCTACGGCTGCCGTCGGTCGCGCCACCTCCTAGATCCCGATGGACCTGGGCGCGCGCCGGCTCTGGGAGGCCACAATCGAGGAGGATCCCGTCCGCCACCTCCCCCGAGGAAGAGAGGAGGCCGAGCTTATTACAGGCGATGGGCAGCCCCTTTTTTCTTAGGTCTGCCGTTATCATGCGGAACGCTTGCCCGAGCTCCCTGCGAACTACTTCCTTGCCTCCAACCGCGTGCAGCGAGACATCGCCGATTACATTTTTTATCCAGACGACTGGGCTGGCCGACGCCGCGCGCCGCAAACAAGCTAAGAGGAGCAAGCGGGAAAGAGTGGTGGCCCCAGAGCACCCTGCAACTACCGTGCCGTTCGGCACGAGGACTCTGCTGACCGCGCCTTGCCACGAGACCCTACGCGGTGCACGATGCATCGAACAGTAGCTCCTCAAGAGGGCTTCCGAAAAACCTGCATGCTCGGCGGCTTCTCGCAACTCCTGGTGCGAGATGTGTTCATAGAACTTGCGCAGATCTATGAAAAACGTGCAAGAGGCCCAGCCAGGCTGGGAACGGGCATAGGCTGCAAGAGCGTTGTGGACCCAAGCGCTCTTGTCACAGGCTGTGCTGGTGCTCATACCCCAAAAGAAACGCTCATCAGCGCGACGCTCCCACTCAGAGCACAGCCTGTGCCTAATTCTGCTCCAGACCCTCGCAAAGAGGGGAAGCAGCCCTATCGGTCGGACTCCTCCCGAAGGCTTGTCGAGAAAAACGATCAGCACTAGCCACATCTGGTCCACCCTCGGATTCCTTTCCCAAGCAGTGAGGATGGCCGCAAAGGCCTCAACAAGCGGCCGAAGGCTGCAACAGGAGCCGCGGGCTGAACGCATCCCGACCCAAAGACGTGGTCGGGCTGAAAGAAGCCGCCGCTTCTAGAACCTGTTCAGCAGAGATCGGTTCGAGCGAATCCTCCACCGTCCAGTCAAGGGGATGCTGCTCCCCCTCGCGCTCGGCGCTGGTCCAAATGGGAATCCACTCCTTGAGGGTCTGCTCTAGAGCGGCCTGGCCTACCAGAATCGAAAGCCGATTCTGCGGGAGGTCCTGGTCATCGGCCTCTTCGAAAACTGGCAGGGGCGGAGGGGCTGGGCCTTTGCTGAACCTGTGAGCGACACGACCACCTCCAGCCACCGACGACTTCGCCCACGACTTCCACTTCTGTCGGCCTTCAGCCGCCTCCTGCTTCACCCTGCTGACGACCTCCGCTTGGACCGCGTCCACTAGCGGCCCTCTGGTCGCGCTGTCGGCCAGCTGCGTAAAAAAGTTAGCCAGGGTAAGTCCACGGAGCTGTTCCTGCCCCGCCTCCGCGAACAAAGTTGAGAGGGGCGATGCAATCCTGACCAGCTGAGCCTGAACCTCTGGTTTAGTAGCTTTTAAAAACTGGATGGACAGGCGGCGCAGCGAAAGCCACTTCTGAGTGAGCAGATTAGAACGCTGGTAGAGCTCTTGGCCCCAAGCTGCTCGCAGAGGGACGAGCTGTATCTGACAGCCCTTGTGTCGGCCGAAAAACTTGGGGTCCGTCACACCGTGGACCTCAGCGAGGGCCCTTTCCGCAGAGGAGAACCATCTGGACGCAGCGTCCAGAGGATCCAGGCCCAAAAAATTTGGGCCGTCCCAGGATCCCGAAAAAAACCATCTGCATCCTCTCATCATCATCCTGGGGCAGAGGGAAACGCTTGGGCACAATGCGCTTCCAAACCTTGGCCTGGCCAGCCAGCGCTCGCATGCGGAGGGCCACCGCAGAGTGCGGCCCTACTGGGGTGTCGGCCACTCCAGCGCACCAGTCGACGTGGTAGTCCAGGCACCCGCTGATGACGAAAAAGTCGTAGCAGTGGTCGTGGCAGGTCGCACCTTCTGGCCGCAGGATGCTGGCCCCGAGGTGCCCAGTCCACTGGGACTCCCTGAGCTCTTCAGCGTCAATATTCCAATCACCGCCGATGACGAAAGGGATGTTAGCCTCTGCTACCACCGCGCTGACCTGCTCCAAGAAATCGAGATTGGCTCCGCTGAGCCCCAAAGTAGTATGCCCGTATACCGAGACTACCAGCACCTCCACGTTGTAGGCCAAAGCGACGAGGAGGAGGAGGAGGAGGAGGAGGAGGAGGAGGACCCCCTCCCCCCCTAAAACAGATTCCAACAACACAAGCCCAAATAGTCAACAAGAGTCGAAGAATCGTCCCCAGCCTATTTTTGCCACCGTTTTCGAAAAGTCCCCCTGCAGAGGGACAGGCCCGACTTCACTCGCGGCCGCCCCCGACGGCATGGCGGCGACGACGGGCCCCCCGCGCAGCTCTGCTGCGGCCGCCGAGGGCGCCCGCTGGGCCCGGCGGGGGCCGCGCCCGGGCGCGGGCCGCGCGCCGGCAGCAGGTCGGGCACGCCCCGCGGGGCCGAGGCAGCAGCCACCAGCACCAGGTCTATGTTGCTCCCATCGTGCTCGGGGACCACATCCCAGACATACTTGCGAGCACCCGGGAGAGGTGTCGAAAGGGTGTCGACCGAGGGTCGGAACCGTGTCGGAACAGTGCCTCCCAGGGCCCGATTCTGGCGCTCGAAAGTATCTCTGGTGACCAAGGCTAAAGTAGGTTGGAACATCATAACGCTAGGTCGGGCATGTCCCCCTACAGGCGCATTTTGGACGACATGTGTTTCAACTCTCGAAACATATAAACATATTCCAACATGATCAAACCATACTAGGAAAATCGCCCCCTGACTATTTTCGGACTACCTTGGGATACTCCCCCTGTAGAGGGACAGGCCCGACTGAACACCAGCACTTCGAGTGCTGCTGCCCAGGACACAGGCGGTTCGGGCTCGTGCGGGCGGCAAGCATCGGGCGGTTCGGGTTCGTGCGGGCGCGCGGTCCTCGAGAGCCCACGGCCTGAGCTAAGGGGGGTGGGGCCTCGCTTCCACGCCGCGGAGTTCGACGAGGCGAGGGCATGCCCCGCAGGGCCCTCGGCGGCAGAGTGCGGCGGGAGGCGCCGGCACCGTGCCGGCGGGACACGGGCTGCGCAGCGCAACTCGCTGTGCCGTCCACTGGGGGCACCAGGCAAAGGTCTCTGGAACTTCGAAAACCAGCTCAATGTCGCCTCATTTCTGGAGTTCCAGAAACTGGTTTTTCGAATCCACAGACTGGTTGTGTGAATTCGAAAAACTGATTTGGGACATCCAAGCATCTTGGTATTTCTAGTGCGAAGACTGGCTGCCTGAATTCAGAACAAAATATATGCCATCACATGGGCGGAACAAAAAGATATCCGCATCCGCCCTCGCGGATACGGGGCGCTTGTGCCGCGGATGCCCCGCGCGGAACGTGTCCGTGCGACCACGTGTCCGCGGAGGAGGAGGAGGAGGAGGAGGAGGACGAGGAGGAGGAGGAGGAGGAGGAGGAGGAGGAGGAGACGGAGGAGGAGGAGGAGGGAGGAGAAGGGGAAGGAGGAAGAGGGGAGGAGGAGGAGGGGGAGAGGGAGAGGAGGAGGAGGAGGGGGAGGAGAGGGGAGAGGAGGAGGAGGGGAGGAGGAGGAGGAGGAGGAGGAGGAGGAGGAGGAGAGGAGGAGGGAGGGAGGAGGAGGAGGGGACGGCGGGTGGTGGGAGATGGGGTAAAGGAGGGATGAAGGAGGAAAGGGAAAGGGAGGAGGCGGACGCATGAGGAGTACAAGGAGGAGGAGGAGGAAAGAGGAGGAGGGGGAGGAGGAGGAGGAGGAGGAGGAGGAGGAGGAGGAGGAGGAGGAGGAGGAGGTGTACCATGACGCGAGGCGGATCAAGAGGAGCAGGAGGAGGAGGAGGAGCAGGAAGAGGAGGAGGAGAAGGATGAGAAGAAGGAGGGAGGAGGAGTGATATCGAAGGATGGCGAGGGGGGGTGGAAGAGTAAGGGCGGAGAGCACGAGAAGAGGGAGGAGAAGCAGCCACGCCATCTCTTTACGGATCTCATCGCACACGCCTTCCAGAGTCTCGAGTACGTCAATCACGAAGATACTGCTTCTGTCCGAGATGTTTCGTAGTCGAGCAAAGCACAACCCTGAGCCTGGCAAGCTACCCACCTGGCCCATCACGCGCAAGCTGACTGTACACTCAGGTGTTTCCTCACCCATGGCGAACAGTCCGTAAGGCATCCTGCAGGCTGCCCTCCGCTTGCCCGCGCCAAAAGTCAAGTCCTGTATCGACGCTGCCCATGTGCATAGCAAGCATTGCCAATACTTAAGACGTGCACTGTCGTACCTGAAGCATGAACATCCCCCGCTGCGGACTGCTCGAGAGAGCCACCATACAACCACCGAGTCGGCGTCTCCGCGCCAACCATGGGTGAAGCTCCTCGCTGGTCTCATGACTTTTACTTATGTATGGGAAATGCCCGTCCTCTCTCGGTTCTTGGAATGAGCCACCCGCGTTTCCCTTATGCCGAACCTTACCCACATCAGCTTTACAAGCCAAACAAATATTGGAGGACACAACGCACACATCGGCTACGTCTGTCAATGTAATGGTCTGTCGAGGTAGTGGCCTGCCTGTCGAGGTCATGCTACATGCATGTTCACACTTCGCTGTGGGCGTCCAACCTCTTCTCACCGCCGGGAAATATGGATGCCAAGCACACGCAGGAACCTGTTCAAACAACTTCCACTGTTTCTGAGAAGTCGTATCGACCAGCGCGTCTCTCAAGGACATTTCGATTCTGGAAGTAGTTGCGATACAATGCATGAGAGTCCCTTGGTGAGCAATGCTGGCTCACAGAATCGAGATTTCGTTCCAACAATTGTATGGCTTGCCTGCATGTGTGAAACTGATTGAACCGAAACGAATTCAACCCAAATGGCTTGAACAAAACATGGCTGCAAACGAAATAGGAGGAGGACCCGCAATAGCTGGGGGGGAGTAGGGGGACGAGGAGGAGGAGGAGAAGCAGGAGGAAGAGAGGACAAGGGGAGACTTCTGAGCAAGACACGGCAATAATGATAAGTAGAAAATAGAAAAGGGAATGAGGGAGGAGGAGGACGCGGAGGGGGGAAGGAGGAGGAAGGAAAGGAGGAGGATGGAGGGGAGAAGACCTGAAGCGAGGACGACGTCCAGAAGGAGAAGATGCGGGAGGGTCGGAGCAGGGCAAGTTTAGACAACGGCAGCTCAGAATCGGTCCCTGGACCCCTCCTGCTCCTGGGGTCCAGGCGCTCCAGTTTCCCGAGCTGCGTCCAGCCGTGCCGACGAGGGGGCCCCGAAGGCCAACTACTGGCCAACTACTGTTGTCTCAACTCGCCCTCCGCTGAGAGAAGGGACGGAGCGACGACGACGAACGACGACGACGACGACGACCACGAGTAACGAACGAGGACCACGCCTCCGCCTCCGACGTCCGCGCCGATGCCTGAGCCGCCAGCCGACGGCGACCTCGACGACCGACGGCGACGGCGGCGACGGCAAAAGCCGGCGGCGGCAAATGGCGACCACCACGGCGAACGACGGCGTCGGAATCGAACGACGACGACGACAACAACAGCGGCGACAGTGACGACGAGGACGGCGACGACGGCGACGACGACGAGGACGGCGGCGACGACGACGACGAAACGAGGACGACGAGGACGACGACGACGACGACCCACGACGAAGACGACGGACGACGCGCGCCGGCGGCGGAGGGCGACGACAACGCCAGCCGAGGTGGGCAGCGCTCGGAGGTCGACGGCGACGGCGGCCGACGATCCACGGCGGCGGCTGGACCATCGCGGGCTGCACCAGGGGCGCGTCCCTGTCCGCGCGTCGCGACGCCCGCGGCACCGCGTGGCAAGGGCGGGCGGCCGTCTGCATGACCTCGCCGGGCCGTCGTCACCGTCATGGTCGCCGTCGCCGTCGTAGTCGCCGTCGCCGTCGCCGTCGTCGTCGTCGTCGTCGCCGTCGCCGCCGTCGTCGACGCGTGCTGCCGCGCGCGCGAGAGCGCCCGCGGGGGGACCCCCCCCTCCCACGGTCAACACAACAACTCAGGATGAAATACAGTACCCAGGGAGTGGGTCTAGAGCACTATGAGGATGATTGTGATGCTGATGCTGATGATGATGATTGTGATGCTGATGATGATGATGATGCTGATGCTGATGCTGATGCTGATGATGATGATGATGATGATGATGATAATGATGATGATGATGATGATAATGATAATGATGATGATGATGATGATGATGATGATGATGATGATGATGATGATGATGCTGATGATGCTGATGCTGATCTTGATGCTGATGTTGGGGAAGCCAGCGGCGGCGCAGCGGGCGCTGGCGGGCGCGGCCGCGGCAGGCCCCCCCCCGGATCAGTACGACAGCTGCGGGGGCATCGGCCAGAGCAGCTCCGAGTGGAGGGCCAGGCTGAAGGGCGCCACGAAGACCTTCTCGAACTCGGGGTACGTGAAGAACGTCTCGGCGATGCCCTTCGCGAGGAACGCGGACACCTCGTCCACACCCGGCATCTGCTCGGGCAGTCGCGCGTAGGCCTGCCGCAGATCCTGCCCCGTCGCGCGGGGCTGCTCCTCTCGTTAAAGGCTTAACGACTTCTGCCGTCCTTCGACTCGCGCTGGAGCGGCCGCGAAGTGCTCGAACTTTCCCTGGAGATCTCTGGATTTACCTGGATTTACCCAGATTTATCTAGATTTACCTGGATTTACCTCGATTTATCTGCATCTACCTGGGTTTATCTGGCTCGATTCTCACAAGTCGATTGGCGAAAAGTCGACAAGCCCTAAGGGCTCCTCCAGGACCCCGAGGCACACCAGCAGGAGCTTTTGTTGTAGGCGGCGTAGACGAACCCCGCGCTGTTCTCCGCGTCCAGCTGCACCTCAGCGACGGACATAGAGAGCTCTTCCTCGCCATCGCTCGGCCGTCCATGCCCTGTGCTTTTTTCAGTTTCGTGCGTGGTTTTTTTTCGCCAAATGATCAAGGATGCTCCTCGATGGCCCTCGCCGTATAAAAAAAACACGTCCGAGCGATGCCAAGCTTACGCACGATGGCATGGCCATCTCACCAGGTGGCCTCCGTGGGCCGCCTCAGCGCGGCACGCCGCATCGGAGACGCGGGCGCCTGACGCGGGACTTCGCGCAGCTGCAGCTCGCGCGCGAAAAGGTCCGCGCAGTCGGCACCCCCTGGACGCCTCACCCGGCTCCCGCCCTGCGGCTTGCGAGGGCTCGCGCGCGGCATTGGACACGAGGGCGCTGCCGCGCGGCCTGACGCTCGCAGCTTGCGCGCGAAGGCCCGCGCAGCCGCCGGCACTTTCTCCGGTCGCTCGCCTGGCTTCCGCCCTGCGGCTTGCTGGGGTTCGTGACCGAGCACCACGGCCTCGACGCCCGCACGCCGCGCAGCTCCGTGAAGTGCAGGACCCGCAGGCTGGTCACCAGCGGCCCAGGCGCGGCGAGCGGGTCTGCGCGGTCTGGCCTGCCATCCGCCTCCTCGTGCCCAGACCCCCCGGCAAGCGAGTCACGGCGGAAGATGCTTCAGGATGCTCGGCCTTGGGGCCGTAGAGATACTGGAGATGAGACACCAGTCCCGCGGAAGAGACCGAGACCTCGGGGGGTCGACAACGAGAAAACATTCGGACCAGAAGAGAACAAGGACACATAAGCATAAGCTTTTGGCGCTCCGCGAGGGTTATTTAGATCCGCAGTGAGCCTCCCTCCCTGGCGCGCTCCGCCGGAAGCGCCGCCAGGGGGTCCAGGCGCAAATCCAAGAGCACCAAGAGCTTATGTTTATGGCGTTTTCCGAAACATCCGCGCGGAGCGCCAAAAGTTTGTGTTGATGGAGTTCTTTCTTCTTCGATTGACGTCGGGGGGTCTGGGTGTCGAGCTCCTGATGTCGAGGAACAGACAATCACATAGAAGCATAAACCTTCGGATGTCTGCGCGGGCTTCCCCGATCAGCCCGGGACGAGCCCCCCGGCCGCGCCACCGGCCGCGCCCCTGCCGCGCGCTCCGCGCGCCAGGAAGGGGGGGGGTCCAGCGCCGAGGCGAGAAGTTCGCGCGGGCCTCCGAAAGCTCCTGCTCGTGTCGTTGCCTGTTCCTCGAGGATGGCTGCACAGGGAGTGCAGGAACTCCAGCGCCTTCGCCGTCGTCGCCGCCGCCGCCGCCGTCGTCGTCGTCGTCGTCGTCGTCGTCGTCGTCGTCGTCGTCGTCGTCCTCGTCGTCGTCCTCGTCGTCGACGCGTGCTGCCGCGCGCGCGAGAGCGCCCGCGGGGGGACCCCCCCCTCCCACGGTCAACACAACAACTCAGGATGAAATACAGTACCCAGGGAGTGGGTCTAGAGCACTATGAGGATGATTGTGATGCTGATGCTGATGATGATGATAATGATGATGTTGATGATGATGCTGATGCTGATGCTGATGCTGATGATGATGATGAAGATGAAGATGATGCTGATGCTGATTATGATGCTGATAATGATGCGGATGATGATACTGTTAATGACGACGATGATGATGATGATGATGATGATGATGATGATGATGATGATGATGATGATGATGATGATGATGGTGATGATGATGTTGATGATGATGATGCTGCTGCTGCTGCTGATGCTGATGCTGCTGCTGATGAGTCTGCTCCACGGCGGAGACATCGAGAAAGACGGCTTGCGGCCCTCGCCGGCCTCCGGGGGCGCCCCTCGCCGGGCCTCGGGGCCGCCGGTGCCCGTCGGGGGGGGAGGGTCTATATATATATAATATATATATATATATATATATATATATATATATATATATATATATATATATGTATAGACCTCTGGGGGCAGCGCGCACGGGGGGAGGGGGGAGGAGCGGGGAGCGCGCACGGGGGCAGCGCGCACAGGGGGGAGAGGAATACAGTGGACCAGTATATTACCAGCCTCGAACGTATCCCGATCCCTAAGATCGACACGCCAAAAGGCGATGACAATCTCAGGGACTCGCCCTCAAAGAAATAAGGGAATCCCTAAGATTGGCATCGTGATGAGGAGGTGCCCAGCATAGGGATAGGGATATGTTCCAGGCTGGTAAGTATAGTAAGGATGCGCGATGAGGATGCAAGAGCCTTGGACGCCCATTTCGAAGCTCTTCGAGCGGGGCGCGGCCAACGAACGTGGCGAAGGATGAACCCAGGAGGCAAGGATGCAAGGGTACCCTTGGGAGGGATGCCCATCCTTACTCTGCGGGTCGACTGTAGGAGGGGGGAGTGGAGGGGGAAGGTTTAGACATTTGCTGGGGAGCGCGTGCCCGGGCGGGCGAGAGCGTCTGCAGGCGCGGTGCCAGGCGGCGCTGCTCCTTGGCGACTTGCCTTGCGCGGGTGGCAGCGCGGAGGCGTTTGCGTGCCTGGCTGCGCAACGCTCGGGGATGGACAGAACCCCCTTTAGCAAAACGTGGCTTCGTGAAACCGACCTCGGGCCGAAACCTGGCGGGCGCAAGCCTGCAGAATGACGGCCGCGGCGCCCTCTCGAGAGCCGAACACGGACAATTCACGAATCGACGTGCCAGGGTGGGTGGCCTGCCCACCCCCGAAACGCAGTGCGCAGCTCCCAGAGGTCCCAGACAGAGCCTCTGGGTGGGGTCGAGCGCCGCGGCTGCGCGCGTGCTCGCGCCCGCACGCTAAAAAAGGCATGAGCTCCAGCGCCTTGAAGAGGAGCTCCGTCGGGCCCTCGAAGAGGCTGATGGCCGCCCCGGGCACGAAGACCATGAGGCCGCCCAAGTCCTGGGGGGGCAAGCTGCACGGGACCAGGGACACACACACACAACACACACAACACACACACAACACACACACACAACACACACACAACACACAGAACACACAGCACACAACGCACATAACACACAACACACATAACACACAACACACATACAACACACAACAGGCACACACCACACACACACACAACACACACACAACACACACATAACACACAACACGCACACACAACACAAACAACACACACACAACACACAACGCACACAACACGGACACAAAGTCAAGACGAAGTCAAGACGAGGATACATTCGGGCCGAGGAACAACTCGAGAGTATCTGAGATCCGGCGGCTCTGGAAAAGGTGTCGGGCGCCGCGGCCTTCTCAGAGGGATCCAGAACGCTCTGAGAGCGGTCGGGAATGCTCTGGGATGGATGTATCCTCGTCCTAGTCCCGTTCGGCACAAAGTCCAGGCTCGAACAGATCCGCGCGGGCTTTCAGAAGTGAATGTGTACGATTTGTATTTTGATTCGTGTGGAGTTCTGATGTTTAAGCTCAGATGTTTAGTTGGATCCCAGTGGAGGTTTGATGTTTGCGTTTTGATCCGAGTGGAGTTTTGACTTGTATGCCTTGTATGTTGATTCGATGTGGAGCTCCCTGCGCTGAGCACGCGGAGTGCCTCCCGAAAGGCCCGGGCCCCGAGTTGCCGGGCTCCGGGGGGCGCCCCGCATGGGGCCCGGGGCGCCCCCGAGCCACACCCACCCGAGAGACGGCGCCCGAGGCGCCGCCAGGGGGGGCCAGCTGCACGGCTTCCCCCGGGGCCGCAGGCGACCCGAGGAGGGGGAGGAGGAGGAGGAGGAGGAGGAGGAGGAGGAGGAGGAGGAGGAGAAGGAGGACGGGTCGCCTAAGCCCTTCGGAGAAACCCTCCAGGGCCAGCACCAGTCCCAGAAACCCGCGCGGAGCTCCGAAAGTTTGCGTCCGTGCAGTCTGCTTCAGAGGAGGACGAGATATACCGCTGCCCCTTCGCCCTTTTTGCCCCTTTTCGGCCTCCTGGGAGGCCCTCGTCGCCACCGCTGGATTCGCCTCGAAATCCTGGTCAGAGCGCGCCCCGGGAGAGGTCCGCGGAGTAGCGTTAAGTCGGGCGTGTCCCCCTACAGGGGGATTTTCGAGGAAAATAAAGAAATACGCAGACAACGCTCCAAAATGGCAACAAAAAAAAAACTAAAAAAAAACAGCCCCCAGACCACCACCCTGCTATTTTTGAACACCCCCCCTGCAGAGGGACAGGCCCGACTTAAGAGTAGCGGAATCGGTACCTTCTGGTCTCCCCACTTCTGGCTCGTAGTCGGGGTCCTCGGCCTCGTCCCCCTGCTCAGCCTGTCGGCGGCGAGCGGGGGGGGGAAGTGAGAAGGAGAAGTTGAGCAAGGACCGACCGTCCCGGCATTCCTGTAGTCCTACCACGAAATGCTCTTAGATCCCACAAATGTTCTATGAACGAAACCCAGGTTCTTAGAACATAATCCCGATGCGGTAACAAAAACAAGACAGACTCCGCCAGAAATGCTCTAAGAACCCTCCGTGGAAACCAAACAAGGTTCTCAGAACATTGTTCGGTGGGGCTATAGGCGAGCCAGGACGCTTCGCTAGAAGGAGAAAACAACACTATAAACATAAACTGTTGGCGCTCCGCGCGGATCTCTTGGATCAGCGCTGGACCCACCCTCCCTGGCGCGCGGAGCGCGCCGGGGGCGGCGCCGGAGGCGCCGCCGGGGGGAGCCCAGCGCGGTTCCGAGGACTCCGCGCGGAGCGCCCAAAGTGTATGTCTGTGGCGTTCCTTCTTCGTCGGCTCTCGCGTCCCCCTCCTCCTCCTCCTCCTCCTCCTCCTCCTCCTCCTCCTCCTCCTCCTCCTCCTCCTCCTCCTCCCCCTCCTCCTCCTCCTCCTCCCCTCGCTTCCCCCCCGGTCGCTCGCCGCCGGGCCTGCCAGGCCCGGAGCTTCTGGTCGAGGGCCGCCGGGGCCGTGCGCTCCTCGCCGACCTCGAGCGCTTCTGGTCGAGGGCCGCCGGGGCCGTGCGCTCCTCGCCGACCTCGAGCGCGACTAGCGCCCGCGAGACGTGCGCCGCCGCGCCCTTGAGCGGGTGCTCCACGCGGTCGAGCAGGGCTGTGCGCGCCGTCTCCTGCGCGAGGGCGTCCAGCGCCTCTGGGAGAGGAGCAGCAGCGGCATGAGCATAAGCATAAGCTATACATAGGGGGACGAAGGGATACTATACTCTATCATAGGATCTACTATCATATAAGCAAAACGTAACCATAAACATAAGACTCATCATCGATACATAAACAGAAAAGCTCGGAGGCCCGCGCGGATTTCGTGGATCCGCGCAGGGACCCCCTTGGCGGCGCCTCCTGCGCCGCCGCTCGAACGCTCCGCGCGCCGGGGAGGGGCGTCCAGCGCGGATCCGAGAAATCAGAGTTTTTATGTTTATGCCATCCTTTGTTCCACTAATACACCACCACCGTGCCAGGCCAGGGCCATCCTGGCCCTGGCACGGTGTATACGCCCTCATGGCCGAGGCCAGGAGGTTCTATACACCATCCTGGGGCCTAGGATGGCCCTGGCCTGGCACGCTGGTGGTGTACAGATGCCTTCGTCGGAAATTCAGAGGAAGATGACATGCCATAAACAGAAGCTTTTTGCGCTCCGCGCGGATCTCTTCGACTCGCGCGGGACCCACCCTCCCTGGCGCGCGGAGCGCGCCGGGGGCGGCGCCCGAAGCGCCGCCGAGGGGCCCAGCGCGGATCCAAGAACTCCGCGCGGAGCGTCAAAAGTTCGTGTGTATGCCGGCTTTGTTTCTCTTCGAGCCTCCAGGGGCGGATTGTGGTTCTCGTCGGGCGACGTCAGCGGACCGCCTCGCCGACCCTTGCCGTGCCGAGTCTGGGCCCCTGGTCGGCCCGAAGGTTCGGGCGCTGCACACTCTTCATGCCGAGCGCGTTCGTGTTGCTTCGGGCCCCCGGACCCTCACAGATCGGTCTGGCTCGGAACAAGCAGCAGAAGGATTGGGTCCAGGGCTCTGGTCGTGATGTCTTGCGATGCTGCAGCTTCTTCGCTACAGCGGGGAGCAGTCCACAGGAAACCGTCCACAAGCAACCCAACCCTGAGACCCCAGGGCGTCCATTGATTCTTGGTGTGGGAACGTCACGCTTTCCATCGAAAAACCACCGAAACCCAAGAAACCCAGGGCACCCTGGAGGCAAGCAGGGTGTGACTTGGCATGGGTCTCTACTGTACGTCGTATCTCAAGGAGACCGATCCTGGCCAGGCCTCATCCCGGGCCCAGGATCAGCGTAATGCTTTCCTGCCCAGAGCAGGCGGGCGCGTCTTGGAGGCCCAGATACTGGCACCCACGCTAGGGGGGTGCCTCCAACCCAGACCCCCTCGAGCAATGGAAAAATCATGACGGGAGGGTTTTCACCATTTTCGGCATTTGGGGGCCATTGCCCGGCCTCGGGAAAACGACTCGGGGTGAAAAACCAGACCTGGGGAATAGGTCGAGACATTCGGGGTCGAGGTTATGAAAACATCATGACGTTGGGGGTCTGGGAACGGGGGGAGAGGATCCTGGATTTTGGTGCTGGTGGTCCCCTCTCAGCAACCTACGAAGCCCGCTGTTTACAACCATCACCGAGATCAGGACCGTCTTACACCCACTGAGGCAGGGACCGATGCTGCGAGGAGGAGGAGAAGGAGGAGGAGGAGGAGGAGGAGGAGGAGGAGGAGGGAGGGAGGAGGAGGAGGAGGAGGAGGAGGAGGAGAGGAGGAGGGAGGAGGGAGGAGGGAGGAGGGAGGGAGGAGGGGGAGGAGGAGGAGAGGAGGAGGAGGACGAGGGAGGAGGAGGGTGGAGGAGGAGGAGGAGGAGGAGGAGGAGGAGGAGGGAGGAGGAGGGCCCACCTCTGGGCCCCCGGGGATACCCGATCCTGGGCCCGGGATGCCGCACGGCCCGTGGTCGGTGAGGCGGCCAGCCGACGCCGCCCGCGCCCTTGCTGCGCTGGCGGCCCGGGGCACCCTCCGCCTCCGTCGCCAGGCCGGTGTCGCCCGGCGCCAGGGTGTCCTCCGCCATCGGGCCGCGGCAAAGGGCCGGGGCCTGGTGGCACGCGAGGGGGGAACCCTGCTTCTTTGAGCCAAAATGGCTGTTCGGAGGGAGTGGGGGGGAGGGGGAGGGGGGGCCCGGGGGGGGGCGGAGGGGGGTGACGAGGATGGAGGACCCCTCCTTCCCCTCTCTCCTCCTTCCACTTCCTCCCTCCTCCTTTCTCCTTCCTCCTCCTCCTCCTCCTCCTTCTCGTCCTCAATCGCCTTCCTCCTGTTCCATCCTCCTCGTCACACTCGTCCTCATTATCCTCCTCCTCCTCCTCCTTCTCCTCCTCCTCCTTTTCCTGACAATCACTATCACCATCACCATCACCATTGCACTCATCATCAACATCACCACCACCGTCACCATCACCACCATCACCATCAATATCATCATTCCAATAAGCATCATCATCATCATCACCACCATCACCACAATCATCATCATTATCATCATCATTATCATCATCAGCAGCATCATCATCACCATCACCATCACCATCCCCATCACCATGATCACCATCACCGCAACCACCACCACTTTAAGCATAATCATAAAAATGAGCATCATCATCATCAGTACGACCAGAAGTACCAACATCAGCATCATCACCACCAGCATCATAATAACCATCACTATAACCACCACCATCACCATCATCATCACCACCATCCTCATCATCATCAGCCGCATCAACCCCACCACCACAAACACCGTCACCACCACCATCATCATCATCAGCATCATCATCATTAGTAGCATTATGATCATCATCATAATCATTACTAACATCAGCATCAACATCAGCATCATCAGCATCAGCATACTTATCGTTATCATGATGTTCATTGGCATCATCACCATCACCACCATCCTCCTCCTCTTTCGTCTCACCATCACCATCAACATCACCATCGCGACCACCATCGCCATCAGCATCACCATCACTATCACCATCACCATCACCACCACCAGAACCAGAACCATCATCATCATCATCATCATCATCATCATCATCATAAACATCATCAGCATCGTCATCATCATCACGGTCACAATCACTATCACCATCACCATCACCACCACCATCACCATCAGCATCACCAATATCATTATCATCGTCATCACTATCATCATCGTCATCATCATCGTCACCATCATCGTTATCGCATCACCATCACCATTAGCATGATCGTCACCACCACCACCAGCACCTCCACCACCACCATGATCATCATCATCAGCATCAACATCATCATCAGTATCATCATTAACATCATCAACATCATTCATAATCATCATCATCAGGATCATCATCATCAGCATCATCAGCAGCAACATCATCATCAGCAGCAACATCATCATCATCATCATCATCAGCATCATCATCATTATCACCATCCGCAACACCATCATCATCATCAACATCATCAATCAGCATAATCATACCCATCATCATCGCCATCATCATCACCATCATCATCATCATCATCAACAACAGCATCATCATCGTCATCCTCCTCCTCAAACCAGCCCCTCCTCGTCCCTGGCCTCGCTCTCCTCGCCCTCCCCCTTCCCCTCCCTGCGTCCCCCACCTGGTTGAAACAAGGCCAGGCCACGTTTCCCTGTGCACAGGTAGACTCGGGGGCGGCAAAGAGGGGGGTGTCCAAGAGGGGGGGGGTGCAAATCATGACCGGCGGCATGTGCGCGGCCCGACGGGGGGGCCAGGGACGTAATGAAATAAGAAGAGGCGCCGCGAGATCTGGGGAAATATCATGGCCCCCGCCATGATATCCACCCCCCCCTAGTCATCACCCCCCTCTTTTCCGCTCCCGAAGACATCCCCACCAACCCCTACTAACACCCCCGGGCAGCAGCCGGAGGCTCGTCCGGGCGGGCCTCCTCCCGGGACACCTCCGGCTGCACCGTCTTCTCCTTGGGGGAGCGGCAGTTGCCGTGGGGCGGGACAGCGGCGCAGGAGCCAAAGGGGAAGGAGACGGAGTGTGGGGGCGGAATGTGGAGGAGGAGGAGGAGGAGGAGCTGGAGGAGGAGCTGGAGGAGGAGTAGGAGGACGTGGGGGAGGAGCAGAAGAAGGAGGAGGAGGAGGAGGAGGAGGAGGAGAGGAGGAGGAGGAGGAGGAGGAGGAGGAGGAGGAGCTGAGGAGGAGTAGGAGGACGGGGGGGAGGAGCAGGAGGAGGAGGAGGAGGAGGGAGGAGGAGGAGGAGGGGGGAGGAGGAGGCACGTAGAGAGGCGGGAAGAGGAGGACTAAGAGGTTGCTGACGATGAGGAGGAACCGTAGCTGAGGGGCGCGAGGAGGAGGAGGAGGAGGAGGAGGAGGAGAAGGAGGAGAAGGAGGAGAAGGAGGAGAAGGAGAGGAGGAGCAGGAGGAGGAGGAGGAGGAGGAGGAGGAGGAAGGGAGGAGATGGATCAGGAGAAGGCTCAGCACTCGAAGCAGCCGCTCCTGAACTCAGAATGTGCGGGCCCCCCCCGAAGCCCGTAGAGATTGCCAGGACCCCTCCAGCGGATCGCTGGGGGCTCGCAAGAGCGCTGGGTTCGGGCGAGTCGCCCTCAAGAGGCCTGCCCGGGACCCCAAGACCAGCGTGTCACCAAGAACTTGGTCCAGGCCGAGGGCTGTGGCGTTCGGCGGCCCCGCGTCGGCCACGGGGGCGACGAGCGCGAGCACCCATGGCTGGGAGCCCAGCCGCCAAGCGCGACGGTCAGTAAATCGCTGCACGGCCAACGCACGTCCACCCAGACGCTGGCCACGAATATAAGAAACAACCAGCCGTCGGGTGGGACCTGCAGCACCGACCCGGACGCACGCCAGCAAAGCACCTGTGGACTCCAGCTCCACGCCACGGCTCTCCCGCCAGGAGTGCGGCAAAACCACCAGAGGCGATCCGCGTGAGGATTCGGGCCAGCCAACCTAGAAGCCCACAGCATTCGCGAGGCAAGTGGGGATCCCTCGTGGACATTCTGGAGTAGCTTGGAGTGCACCCCCCGCGCAAAGTCGGCTGTGGGCCTCGGCGTCTTCCTTGAACTGGCAGGCGCCTGGGGCGCGGCAGAATTTCATCGCCTTGTGGGGGCGCCCTCCAGCCGCCGGCGGAGCCTGCGGCTGGTGCAACTGACGACGGTTGAATACAGGAAGGGCTGTCCATCCCTCCGCGAGGTGGGATGGTCCCTGACGCCTAGCGAACCAACCAAACCGCACCCGTTCCCCATCGATGGCGGCCAACTAGCGGTTGGGGCCCCGCTGCTGGGATCCCGCCCTCCCACGCGCGTCCCACCGGGGACGCCGCGGCTGCGACGCACCAGCCAGAGCCCTCCTCGGAGCACCAGCGTGACGCAGCAGTCCGAAAGGAACATCCTGCTCCCAACGGCGCCACGACCGCGAGATCGCCCACCCGGACCTTCCAGTTCTTCCAGTGCCCTGCGGACGGACGTTCTGGGGCTGATGGGGATTACCCTCGTTCTCTTCCAAAGTCGTGGGGGGCGCCCCGGTCGGGGGGATCTCCAGTCCTGCCCATCCCCACCCCAGACCTTCCTCGAGGGCTGAAAAATAGCACCAGGACCTCGACATCTCAAGTCCAGGCGAGGTTTGAGGCAGCTCAGATAGGTCTATAGGTCTGGAGGGCTATCTGGCCCCGCCGGCGCCCCAACCCAACCCAGAGAAGTTGCAGCATCGCCAAAAAAAACACGACCGGAGCCCCAAACCCCGCCCTTCTGCATCCTCTCTCGAGCCGGCTCGCTCTGCGAGGGCCCCGGGGCCCGAGATGCAGCGAAAACGCCCGGCGTGAAGACACTGCAACGCCAGGATCTCAGGGGAGCCTGGGCCCAGACCCCCGACGTCATGATTTTGTTCATGACGTCGACCCCCAGCGGTCTGGACCCATTCCCCAGGACCGGTGTTTCGTCCTGGGTCTTTTCTTGACGGCCCCGAGGGCCGGCAAGGGCCCCCAGAGCCCAAAAATGATGAGAAACCGCCCGTCGTGATTTTGTCATGACTCGAGGGGGCCGGGGGGGGGGCCCTGCCTGCCTCGAGGTGCGCCAGAGCCGGCTGGCTCCCCCGACGGTGCCCCGGTGTCGGGCTCGGGGGTGGGCCCGTCCTCCGTGTGCTCGGGAGGGCGTGCGGGCACCCCGGCTCCGGCAGGCAGCGGTTGGCGCGCGGAGCAGGTACAGTCCCAGACCCCCTCGAGTCGTGAAAAAATCACGACGGGAGGTTTTTCATTATTTTTGGACTCTGGGGGCCTTTACCGGCCCTCGGGACCGTCAAAAAATGACTCAGGACGAAAAACCGGTCCTGGGGAATGGGTCCAGACCTCTGGGGGTCGACGTCATGAAAAAATCATGACGTCGGGGGTCTGTGGTTACGTCGCGCCTGTCCCCCTGCCTGGGGATTTTCGGCGAGAAATGGAACATGTGCAAAACATGCCCTAGACTGGTCAAGGATACTCAAAAAAATATGGTCCCCAGACTGTGGTTTGACTATTTTTGGCTGTTCCCCCTGCAGAGGGGGACAGGCCCGACTTGAAGGTACAGTCAGCCCGGATGAGAAAGATGCGCGGGAAGGATGTGAAGGGGCCCACAAACACACAAATAAATACACACAAATAAAAATATCCCCTATATTTTCCCATATTTTCTGGTTTTTTGTCTTCCCCACCACTTCCCATATTTTCGCATATTTTCCTGGGGATCGACGATTAATTGTGTCTGTGTGTTTCTTTCCCTCCTGAGGATGCAGGGGCCTCGGCACGCCGTGCTGATGATTTCCGCGCGGAGCGCGGCCGAACTCCGAAGAGTGCAAGGGTACCCTGACGCGCCCCTTCTCCTCCTCCTCCTCCTCTTCCTGCTCCTCCTCCTCCTCCTCCTCCTCCTCCTCCTCCTCCTCCTTCTCCTCCTCCTCCTCCTCCTCCTCCTCCTCCCCTCCTCCTCCTCCTCCTCCTCCTCCTCCTCCTCCTCCTCCTCCTCTCCTCCTCCTCCTCCTCTTCCTCCTCCTCCTCCTGCTCAGCTATCCTTGCCGACCGTTGGCCAGCGGAAGTTAACAAGGGTGCGCCGAAGGGGCAAGGATGCAAGGGTACCCTGGCCAAGTTGCGCCATCCTTGCTATCATGGTTGACTGTACTGGTGGCCGCCCAGGGGCTCCCTGAGATCCTGGCGCTGCATTTTTGTTCACGCCAGGCGTCTTCGCCCAGAGCCGGGCCCGAGACCCTCACAGATCGATCCGGCTCGAAGAATGACATCGAAAGATGGGGCCTGGGGCTCCACTCGCATTTTTTTTCGCGATGTTCCGTTTTTTTCGCAACGTCGGATCTCAGGGCTGGGCCCGCCCGGAGGTGCTGGTGCCCCACGGCGCCAGCCCCCGTGGGGAGCTGGGTTTAGGTCGGGCATGTCTCCGTACAGGCGGATCTTGGGCGACATAGGAAAATTTCAGATCCCCAAAATACTCCCAAATAGTCAAAACAAATTACCCCAGTGCGACCCTACCTAGAAGTTGGAGCCCCTAGGAAAGCAGCATTAGTTGCTATGCTATGCTATGCTATGCTGTGCTGTGTCATGCTATGCTGCGCTATGCTATGCCATGCTAGGCTATGCTATGCTGCGCTATGCTATATTATGATATGATTGGCTATGGTATGCTATGATATGTTATGATGATGCAGCGGTGCGCTATGCTAAGTTAAGCTAAGCTAAGCTAACCCTCTAAGCAGAGCCTAGGTAGGGAATTACACCCCATGCTATGATATGCGATGCTGCGCTATGCTATGCTATGCTATGCTCTGCTGTGCTAAAGCTCAGCGAAGCTAAGATGAAGGTAAGCTAAGCTAAGATACACCTGAGCTAAAATGAAGCTACGCTAAGCTAAGATGAAATAATCTAAGCTAAGATGAGATGAGCAACGCTAAGCTAAGGGGACGTAGCTGGGGGAACCGCGGGGCGGATACTGGGGGAACCGCCCGGGGCGAGTTGCACTGCCCGGCCCTTTAAGCATACCGAGTAAGAACCCTTCTAGGCAGAGCCTAGGTAGGGAATTTGTGAATACTCCTCCTGTAGAGGGGCAGGCCCGGCTGAAAGCTGGGTTGGGTCAGCCGCATTCGGGGGGCAGTCCGCGACTGGATGCCTCCGACGATGGGCCGCCGAGGCGACCCACCGCCCCAGGGTGCCGAAGGCAGGGGCGCCCGGGGTCAGGCCTGGCGGGGGCGATTGCCGCTCGGACCCGGGGGTGCCCAGCGCAGTCCACCCCAGGGCGTCAACCACGAGTACGTCTGCCCCTCCGCGTGCTGCGCGGCCGTCGGCAGCTCCATCGCGCCGCCGTCGGCGACGGCGACAGCGGCGGCGGCGACGACGACGACGACGACGACGACGACGACGAGGGGCGGCCTCACGGGCGAAGCCCCTCAGGAAACAGAGAATACGGCCCGAGCGAGAGGCGGCTGCGGGAGAGGAGGAGAACGGAAAGCAGAACGCGGCTCCAACCACTAAGTTTCAAAGCGACCCTCTGAACAAGACGTTGCGCAGTGGAGCCACACATGCGGGGGAGACCCAGGCAACAATGGGCGCAAGCAGTACACAATCCTGGACGCAATGCACACTTGCTCTCCTCCCCTCTCCTCCCCCCTTTTTTCCACGAAGCGCTAGCTGCGGCACCGGCAATTGATTATTTGCACTTTCGGCCCACGCGTCCTTCACGGATGCACGGCTCTATTGTCTTGCCGAGTGGATGTTGTGCAATCTTCGTTGCGCAGTAAGTGTTGCACCATCTACGTGGTGCAGTCTTTGTGGCGCAAATCACCAGTGGAGCTCGCACTTGCCAACTCCACTGCTCGCGCAATCATCCCACCCACCCGCCCGCAAATTGTTTTGCAAAACGCATGGGTTGGGATGACTGCGTGGTGTTGGCTAGTGCATCTCTTCGGCCGCGCTGGCCCGCGCACGCTCGCGCGAACAGCGGCAAGCTAGTTTGGCGCGACCAACGCGGGCTGGGGCGATATCAATTCATATCTGCGATGGACGATGAGGGAGAATCGTATGCACATTGCAATACGCAGTACGCAAAGGGGGTGTTTAAATTGAGGGGGGAGACCCGAATACTCTTTTTCCAAGGATGAACTACGCGGCACAACCTATGTGGTGCAACTCGAGTTTGGAACCCGCAAGTGGGTTTCAAAACCCACGCGGTGGCAATTGCGATTGGTGCTTGGTGTTGGCTGGCGCATCTCTGCGGCCGCGCTAACCCGCTCACGCTCGCGCGAACAGAGGCCAGCTACTTCGGCGCGACCGACGCGGCCGCGGTGGCGCTGACCGCTGGGCGCCGCACAGCGGGCACCTCAGTGCGAGTGGCGACCTGGGCGGCCGCGGTATCATGGCAACGCCGACAGCGGTAGACGCAGTGATGATAGCAGCGATGCTGGTGACGATGGCGACAATAGCGACGACACGCTCAGTGAAAGCGCCGATGCTGATCACGCCGGCGACGATGACGGCGTCTTCCCGTATGTGAACAAGGTTCTGGAAGGAGGTTGACATTGGCGCGAGCCCAACGCGCGGCCCGCATGGTATTGTTTGGCACGGATCGTGCCCCCCCCCCCCCCCACACCCAGCACGCTCGCATGGGCGTTCGAATGACTTGGATATGCGGTGCGAGAGGCCCGCCTGGCAGAAGTTCACAAACATGGTGACCAAATCATGTCGCGCGAAGTCTTTTGTTTGAGAGCTGAGATTGCAAAACCACGTGTGCTTTACACGTTCTCGGAACACTCGATTTTGCGATCCTGACGGAACCTACGATTCCTAAAGCATTTCGGCATGCACGCGTGTGAACTTCGTCCTGTTATGTCCAAGGGATTGCTGGAAACTGATGATGTTTGATAAACGGGTGCGCGCGCATAGTATTTTTCTGCATCGGATGAGGGGGGGGATAAGGGTCTGGCTGGAATGCTTTGAATCGATACGAAGGGTGGACGATGGGGCATAATCAAAAGCAACATTTCAATGCGAACACGGGACCGTCAAGTCTGGGTGAGGGGAGGTAGATCCTGTTACAGTTTGAGACAGAGAACAAGGGTGGTGCAATCTATGTGATGCGGTCGCTGTTGCGGCGGCGAGGCGGCGATGGTGCGGCGAGGGCGGCAACAAGGCGGCGGACCCGACAAGCAAGCCCTGACGACGGGCGGCGGCGAGACGGCGACGGGGTGGCGACGGCGACAAGGCGGCGGATCCGACAAACGAGCCCAGACGACGGGCGGCGACGAGGCGGCGACGGGTCGGCGACGGCGAGGACATAGCCGCCGAACCGCCAGACAGGCCCAGGTCCTCTGAAACAAAGAAACCCTGTGCAAGCATTGGTTGGGGAAAGAGGGCGAGTTACGAGTTGAAACAGATGCAGGAACAACAAGGGCAATGGCAGAATCCTCGCCCGGCTGCTCCAGGAGCCGCATGCGCACGTGGAAGATCTCGCCTTCCTCCTTGGGGCAGATCAGAACAGCCCCGACCCATAACGCCGATCTTCTACTCGTCATCGTCACCGTCGTCGTCGTCGCTGGGCTCCTCTTCCTCCTTCTCCTCCTTTCTGATATGTCAGTCCGTCCTCTTCCTCCTCCTCCTCCTCCTCCTCCTCCTCCTCCTCCTCCTCCTCCCCCTCCCCCTTGTTACGCCTCCTCTGCCCCCCCCCCTCCCTCCTCCATCCGCCCGTCCCTCCTCGTTTAACCCCTTCCTCTTCCTCCTCCCTTCCTCCTCCTCCTCCTCACCCTTCTCCTCCTGCTCCGCCTCCTCCTCCTCCTCCTCCTCCTCCTCCTCCTCCTCCTCCTCCTCCTCCTCCCCCTTACCTTTGTTTCCACCTCCTCCCTCCCTCTCTCTCCCCCTCCCCCTTTCCCCTCCCTTCTGCTCATCCTGCGCTCGTCACCCTCCGCCCGTTCCGCCTTGAATTATCACCCTCCTCCTCCTGCTTCTCCTCCTTCTCCTCCTGCTCCTCCTCATCCTCATCCTCGAATGAGAACCTCGAACAGTTACACGGGTGACGGGCGGCTGAACGTTTTCCATAGAGCGGCTGTGGCCTCAGCGCCGCGCAGCCTCGTCTTCAACTCGCGAAGCAGATGCAGGGGGGGGGGAGGCTGGCACGTCTCCCGAATGGAGCTCTCGTCTCGCCTAAGCGCCGAGGGGCCGCAAGCTCAACACATACGAGTGCTACGCGGATAGAGGCCGGCCCGCCGAGACAGGCGGCTCTCGCCTCCACGCCGCGCATACGCGATCCGAGAGCTGCACACCGGCTGCGAGGATGGAGGACGGTGCCTTCCCGAAGCGGGGCCCTCGCCCGTGCCGTCCCCCATTTCTCGCGGCCACAGGAGGAACTCCTCGGTGCCGTGGACCTGCGCCAGGAGGAGGAGGAGGAGGAGGAGGAGGAAGAAAGGAGGAGGAGGAGGAGGACGAGGAGGAGGACGAGGAGGAGGAGGAGGAGGAAGAAAGGAGGACGAGGAGGAGGAGGACGAGGAGGAGGACGAGGAGGAGGACTGGGAGGAGCGGACAGAAGTGTACGGACTTGTGCACCAGTTGCACGGGTCGGGGGTCGGTGCCTACTCGACGCGGGAATCTCTCGCAGGAGGACAGGCAGGCCCATGCGGCGCCAGTCTTTCAGGTGGGGACGTGTGGTGGGGGGGCTTCGAACAGGAGGCTGCGTTGCAGTATTGTTAGCGAGTGCTGGGTGTACTTTGGCCCTCGTCCTCCTCCTCATCTTCTTTTCTTATTCTTTTTCTTCGTATTATTACTCTTCTTAGTACTATTATTATGATTCTCCATCATCATCATCATCAGCATCATCATCATCAACCTCCTCCTCGTCCTCGTCTACAACTACTCAATATGAATACTACTCTCCCTCTTCCCCTGATGACGATTTGAAAGTATTAGCCTCCCCCGCGTACTGATTTTACACACAAGATTCCCCGGAATTGGGTTTTCGCCTGCATATTTTCCAAAATGCTGCTCTCGCTGAGGCGCCGGCCTCATTTTCGGGCCCCGCTCGTTCCGAATCGTGCTCCCGCTGCAGCGCTGGCCTCATTTCAATGCTTCCGCTCGTTCCGAATCGTGCTCCCGCTGCAGCGCTGGCCTCATTTCCGCGCTTCCGCTCGTTCCGACTCGTGCTCCCGCTGCAGCGCTGGCGTCATTTCCCGCGCCATGCCACGGCATGCAATACAATGCTAGGTTGATACTACGCTTTGCGGTGCTCTTCTACGCCATGCCATGCCGTGCTCTACAATGCATCGCGTACGCTTTCGGGATCACTGCCCTGCTCGACATCCGACTGTGCGAGTAGAGAAGGGATCTACGCCATGGAAAGGGATGGAAGGGAGGGGTAGGATGTCAGATATGACGCGAGCGCACCTAGCTTGTCACACCCCCTCCCTCCCTCCCTCCTTCCCTCCCTCCTCTTCTCTATTCCCTACTCCCTCTCCGCCCCTCCCTCCCTCCTCCCTCCTCAACCGTCTCCCCTCCTGCATCCTCTCCTCCTTTCCTGCAAGCCCTCCTCCTCCTCCTCCTCCTCCTCCTCCTCCTCCGCCTTCTCCTCCTCCTCCTCCTCCTCCTCCTCCTCCCGTCCTCCGATCGCCCGCCGGGGACGGCGGGGTAGAGGACGCCGAGGTGCAGGAACGGCTCTCGGCCCTGGGCGTACCTGTCGGCTTGGCCGCCCGCCAGCTAATGTCTCCTCTTCCTCCCCCTCCCCCTCCTCCTCCTCCTCCTCCTCCTCCTCCTCCTCCTCTTCCTCCTCCTCCTCCTTCTCCTCCTCTTCCTCCCCCTCCCCCTCCTCCTCCTCCTCTTCCTCCTCCTCCTCTTCTCCTCCTCTTCCTCCTCCTCTTCCTCCTCCTCTTCCTTCTCCTCGTCGTCGTCGTCGTCGGCGTCGGCGTTGCCAGCATCGTCGACATCAGCATCACCGTCGCCACCACCATCAGCCTCCCCATCGAAAACATGGGGACAACACAACCCACCCCCACCGCCAGCCGGGACTCCCACTCCCGACCCGTGCATCCAAGGGGTCCTGGCCGGGGGTGAGGGCGACCTCGTTTTGCATTGTTTTTCTGCGGCTCGATGCGCCAACGGACCGAACTCCCCCCCCCCTGTGGCCGCCCCCCCTTTTGCGAGGTCCCGAAACCTCCCTCATCTGCGCCCACTACCTTCCGATCCTCCACCTGGTGTTCCTCCTCCGTCGCCGCCGCCTCTTCCTACCTTTCCTCGTGCTCCTCCTCTTCGCCTCAACCTTCCAACGCTGCCTCCATTCCTCCTCCTCCTCCTCCTCCTCCTGCTCCTCCTCCTCCTCCTCCCCCTCCCCCTCCCCCTACATCTTGTTACCCGCATCATCCTCACGTTTCTTCGCATCCTGCTTATCCGACTCATTATGGTCATGCTGTTTCATCTCGCGTCCTCTTCCCTCACTTCCTTCCTGCTCTTTATCATGCTGTTGTTCTTCGCCAATGTCGTCGTCCTCCTTCTATGAACTTTCAACCGACGGCGACAGTGCCATTCAAGCGACGCTTCCCGTCCCCATCCTCGTTTTCCTGCTCCGCCTCCTCCTCCTCCTCCTCCTTCTCCTTGTCCTCATCATCATCACGATCATCATCAACATCCACATCAACAACAACAGCAACAACAGTACCGTCATCATCGCCACCATCATCATCACCATCACCATCATCAGCATCATTGCCCTGCCCCTTCCTTCCCACCTGGCTCCTCCACCTCCGCCCCGTCACCCTCCTCCTCTCATCCCATATGTTCCCCCAGAAAGGGAGGTTTGACGCGAGGGAAGACGATCACGATAATGTGCAGGAAGGAGGGGGAAGCTGATGATTAGTTAGAGTGGGACCTCGGGCAAACGAGCGTCCTTAAAAAAATAATCCTCCACCGGCGAACACATCCCAAACCACAAGATCCCTCGAGGGTACCGCCTCCGGGATGCATAATAAAATCCAACACACACGAAAAACACGAGGGCGCCCCCCCCCCCAGGACCGACCTCGGTCTTGTACCCCAGTGCGACCGTAAGAAAAAAAGGGGTGGGGCTGTCGGGTCAAGATCCGGGTCACCGCTGACCGTCCAGGACGATGCAGGCTCCCCCCTGACGCCCCTCGGCGATGTGCTACGAACATCAGCTTGTGATCACAAAAACCCGTGGGGCGCGCATTTCCCCAATCAAATGCTTGCACTCAAGGGGTCCTCGCGGATGCTGGAGGGTTTGGCGGAAATTCCCCGCCGATGTTGGTTGCTGGCTGGGTTCCCGGGTTCCCGGTTCTGGGATCCCGGGTTCCCGGTCATGGGCCGATTCCGGAGGGCGGCGAGGTTCCCGGGTTCCCGGGGTCCTGGTCGAGTTTCTTCTCGATCGGTCTCAGCATCGATCGCATTACCCCCTTCTCTATCGATCTCACCATCGATCTCCGAATCGATATCACGATCGATCTCACAAGGGATCTCACTAGAAATTGCATGAGCGATCTCGCGACCGATCTCACTCTCGATCTCATTGAATCGATTCACTTTCGGTCTCACGATCGATCTTACGATCGTCCTGGCGATCGATCCCACTATCGATCTCAAGATCGGTCTCAAGATCGATAGTCTTAATTTTCAAGTCATCCACTGATTGGGTTTGCTCAAGTGTCATGTTTTCTCGTTTATGAAAAATTCCCTGCTCGCGCGAATCACGGGGGTTGGCGCCCGCCAAATTGAAACACGCGGCGGCGGCGCCAGTGATTAGCGCCGACGCCAGGCCGCCAGCGAAAAGGCGACAGGAACAGCACAGACCGGGGGAGAGGGGGGGCGGAAGGCAAGGGCGGCAGAAGCAAGGACCGTCGGCGCCGCCACCGCCGCGCTCTTCCGCTGTAGTCGAGCGGAGTTCCCGTCGCCGCGATGGAAGCGGGCTCTGGAGGAAGCGGGCCCGGGACCCTGGAGTTACCGCCAGGACCACCTCGATGGTCTTTCGGCTGCCTCGGGGCCCGCCGAGGGCCCAGGGACCCCAGAGCGGGACAGACATGCCAGGGCCCGCTTCCCACAGAACGTGCGTCCACCGCGGCACCCCCCGCAGCGAGGCCAACAAAAGCGAGCCAGCCCGGCGCAGAGCGGGGTTCGGCGCGTCCGAGCGGGGCGTGGGGAACATGGGCACGCCGTCCAACATGACATGTCGCTCGACACCGGCAGCGGCCGCTCTCGGGCAGGGGGCTCCGCGCATTGAGCTCACAGCGTCCGCGGCCTTGCTCTCGCCCTCGTCCTCCTTTTCCTCGGCCTGCTCCTCCTCCTCCTCCTCCTCCTCCTCCTCCTCCTCCTCCTCCTCCCCCTCCGCCTCCTCCTCCTCCTCCTCCTCCTCCTCCTCCTTTCCTCCTCCTCCACCTCCTCCACGTCCTCTCCTCCTCCTCCTCCTCCTCCTCCTCCTCCTTCCTCCTCCTCCTTCTTCTACAATTACACAATATGAAAATACTTTCCCACTTCCCCTGATGGCGTCCCGAAGATATCCGCCTCCCCCCCCGCGTAGTGTTTTTTACACACAGGATTCCCGGGAAACGGGTTTTCGCTTGTGTTTTTTTCAAAATGCTGCTCTCGCCGAGGCGCCGGCCTCATTTTCGGGCCCCGCTCGTTCCGAATCGTGCTCCCGCTGCAGCGCTGGCCTCATTTCCGTGCTTCCGCTCGTTCCGAATCGTGCTCCCGCTGCAGCGCTGGCCTCATTTCCGCGCTTCCGCCCGTTTCGACTCGTGCTCCCGCTGCAGCGCTGGCGTCATTTCCCGTGCCATGCCACAGCACACGCGCACACACGCACACACACACACACACACACACCACCACCACCACCACCACCACCACCACCACCAGCACCACCAGCACCACCAGCACCACCAGCACCACCAGCACCACCAGCAGCAGCACCACCACCACCACCACCAGCACCAGCACCACCACCACCACAACCACCACCACCACCACCACAACCACCACCACCACCACCACCACAACCACGCACCCCCGCACGCACGCACGCACGCGCACCACCACCCACTAGTCCGCGGATAGAGAAAATCAGCGCCGTGGTAAGGGATGGGAGGGAGGGGTTGGACGTCAGATATGACGCGCGCGCACCTAGCTTGCCTCCACCCCCTCCGCCTCTTCCTTCTCCTCCTCCTCCTCCTCGTTCATGCCGTTTGCCATCATCCGCAGCGCGGTGGTTCCCCGAGCTATCTGAGCCCTGGCGCGCGTGATAACAAAAAATCGCGCCCTACGGCGTCTAATTCATCGGCCCCAGAGGGGGCCTCATTTGTGAATCACAAGCTGACGCTGCTGGAGAGCACCCCAAGGCTGGAAGACAGCCGAGAGGTGATGAAAAGGCCCCACAACCTCGAATCTCGACCCGAGAAAAAAAATGAGGACGATGATGGGGAGGCGGAGGGGGACGACGACGTCGGCGACGACGTCGATGTCGAATGGTTGCTGGCCACAGGGCGCACTCGTCTAGGACCACCTCCAGGTCGCGACGCGGGTCCTCGACGTCGAAGAAGCTGCAGGTCCTCTCCCGCCTGGCGGCGGGGAGAGAGGGAGGGAGGGAGGGAGGGAGGGAGGAAGAGGACAGGACGAGGAGGAGGAAGAGGAGAGGAGGAGGAGGAGAGAGGAGAGGAGGAGAGGAGGAGAGGAGGGAGGAGGAGAGGAGGGAGGAGGAGGAGGAGGAGTACAGGCAAGGAAGCTGGAGGAGGAGACGGAGGAGGAGGAGGAGGAGGAGGAAGGAGCAGGAGGAGAGAGGAGGAGGGAGGGGAGGAGGAGGAGGAGGGGGGGGAGGAAGGAAATGAGGAAAGAAAAGGAGGAGGAGGGAGGAGGAGGAGGGGCAGGAAGGAAGAGGAATGCAGGAAGGGCGCGGATGAGGAGTGAAGGACAGGAGGGGAGGTATATCTAATTCGGGACAGGGGGGAGGATGCCGAGTTGAGACTGTCGAGTACCAGGTGCAGCCAACCCGTCGCAGGGCCCCGTCAGGCCCGTCTCCGCTCTCGGCGGTGCGCCTGCGGCACCCTCGAGCCGCGCGGCTCGGGGGGGCCGCCGGCTCGAGAAGCGATGGTGCGACGAGGCCGGCGGCGCTCGCGGAGCTCCGCGGCACGAGCGCCGTGCGCAGCGACGGCGGACGGAGGCGCGGCAGGCCTTGGAGGCCTGGGCATGGGCACCAACACACCAGCACCCACACAAGGGGTTGCCTCCACAGGGGAAGATTCCTCCTCGATCTCGGTGTTGGTGGTAAGATCCCGGCCACCTTGCAAGCCAGAAGTATCACCACCGTCACCGAGGTCGGGATCTTCGTCCCTCGGTGGACGCACACCGCCGGTGGAACCCTCTTCTTCCCTCTTCTTCCCTCGGTGGCCCCTCTTCCTTTGGTGTTGGTGTCAACCTCTAGGCCTGCGAAGGACGGCGACGGCCGAGGGGGCACGAACGAGGACGAGGCGACAAACACGACGAGGTCTGGAGTCCGCCGTCCGCTGAAGCCCCACACGCCGCCACGCCGGTCCCAGGCAGGCTGTGCTGCCCGGCGCAGGGGGACGAGGAGAGAAGAAGCAGGCAGACGACGACGAACGCGCAGGCGGGAGGCCAGGGCCGGCGGGGCGGGCGGGCGGGCAGGCGGGCGGGCGGGAACACGATGAGGAAGGAGCGGGAGGCCGCAAGGAGGGCCCAGAAAGAGTCTCAGGATGCCTCCGACAACACACACACACAAGCACACGGAACGATACAAGGACACACCACGGTCTCGGAGGCCGAGCCTCTTGTGTACCTTGTCTGCGTTTTTCTGTTATCCTGGAACCGACTACAACGATGGTTCAAACGAAATGGCACTCAACACGAAACACCAAACGACACCCAAACGTTGCAAACAAATCGGGTGCCAACCGAAACGAGAAACCACGCGCTACGCGGCCGACCTCGCGTCATGACTCCTTGGCATCTGGCGACCGCTCGGGACGACTCTGGCGCACCCCCCTGGGGGGACGCTCTCGCGACGAGGCGCTGCAACTGGAGAGAGCCGCCCGAGGCTGGCACAATCGAGACCATTCGTCTGCACAACACGCGCCGAGGGAGCCCACGAAGCCCGCCGACAAAAACCACAGAGAAAGGCCGAAACAGCCGGGGTCCGACGAACAGTTGACGCCGAACTACCAGGAAGAGTCTGCACAAAGCTCGCCGAAGAAGCCCACGAAGACCGCCGAGAAGCCGCAGAGAAAGGCCGAAACCGCCGTGGGCCCGACGAGCACTTCACGCCCGAGTGCCCCGACGCCGACGCCGACGACGACGACGCCGACGAGGATGCCGACGACGCCGACGACGACGCCGACGCCGACGACGACGACGACGGCGACGGCGACGACGACGCCGACGCCGACGCCGACGAGGACGCCAACGACGCCGACGCCGACGACGATGACGTCGGGCCGAGCCACGCCGCCTCGCGCGGCGGGGCGCGCAGGCGCGCCTCCTCCTCCTCCTCCTGCTCCTCCTCCGTCCTCCCTCCTCCTCCTCCTCCGTCCTCCTCCTCCTCCTTCTCCCTCCTCCTCCTCCTCCTCCTCCTCCTCCTCCTCCTCCTCCTCTCCCTCTGTCCTCCTCCTCCTTCTCCTCCTCTCTCCTCCTCCTCCTCCTCCTCCTCCTCCTCCTCCTCCTCCTTCTCCTCCGTCTTGCTCCTACTCCTCCTCCTTCTCGTCCTCCTCCTGCTCCCTCCTCCTCCTCCTCCTCCCTCCTCCTCCTCCTCCTCCCTCCTCCTCCTCCTTCTCCCTCCTCCTCCTTCCTCCGCCTCCTCCTCCTCCTCCTCCTCTCCTCCTCCTCCTCCTCCTCCTCCTCCTCCGTCTCCTCCTCCTCCTCCCTCCTCTTCTCCTCCTCCTCGTTCTCTCCTCCTCGTCGTTCCTTCTCCTCTCCTCCTCCTCCTCCCCTCCTCCTCCTCCTCCTCCTCCCCCTCCTCCCCCCGCCGCGAAGAGACTGGGATGCCTACCCCGCCAGGGATGCCGCATCGGGGGCGGAGGCGAGGGAGGAGGAGGAGGACGGATGAGGAGGAGAAGGAGGAGGCGGAGGAGGAGCAGGATGAGGAGGAGAAGGAAGAGGAGGAGGAGGAGGAGGAGGAGGAGGAGGAGAGGAGGAGGAGGAGGAGGAGGACGGAGGAGGAGGAGCAGGAGGGAGGAGGAGGAGGAGGAAGAGGAGAGGAGGAGGAGGAGGAGAGGAGGAGAGAGGAGGAGGAGGAGGTGGACGGGGAGGAGGAGGAGGAGGAGGAGGAGGGGAGGGGAAGACGGAGGAGGAGGAGGAGGAGGAGGAGGAGGAGGAGGAGGAGGAGGAGGAGAGGGAAGCGGACGAGAAGGAGGAGGAGGACCAGTGGACAACAAAAATAATATCCGTCAGCGATATTGCAAGGAGCCCTCTCGTGGTTTTCATGTAAAGAATGTAAAAGTTCTTTCTTGAACAAGGACGCGACTAGCTGGATCCGATGCAGACTACTCCCTCAGGGCTCCCAATTTATGAGTCACTGCAAGGGTTCATTTCCACTGAGGGAAGTGCCTTGCTGGAACACAACGGTTTGACCATCAGGACCTGTGCCTCCTGGGCCTTCAACGTCGCGAATCACGGTTGCTGTTGCGTCTTGGCGATCCTGAACCATGTCAGAGCACCATTCCTGGGACGCGCTGACGCCGCGAATCCACGTGACGGCTGCGCCCTGACATTCCGAGATCGTGCCACAACACCATTGCTAAAACGTTACCATGAGAACCCTGGAATATGATGAACTTAAAACGAATGCATGCAACGTTAAGGCAACCACCCATCATCTTATCCGCTGTACGAGATCGAAATATCATGATGCCCGCCATCCGCGATGTAGATCTTCCCGTAGATGGTATCCTCACCGACCTGCCATGCCGGGGAACCTGGCTTAATCACCAAGGCCTTCGCCTCATCACTCGTCTTCGATGTCACGTCACCCCGGCGATAGACCTTTCGGACTAGCAGGGCGCCCTTGGCTGCAATCGTCACCCTCATCTGAAGCACACATTCCGACGCGCCGCTGAAATCCAAGTCCCCTGGCCCGATCGGGTCGCCGCGACCCCCCTTCGATGCCACAGTGGCGGAACCCTGCGTGCTGGAATGAGCCCTGCGCCGCTGCCGCGCGGATCGTCCAGCCTTGAACGATCGGCGGCTTATCGATCGCCAAATCGCTCCATAGTGGCCGATCTTGGGCCACTGGCTGCCGAGTGGGGCCGACACGAACATGCCGCAGGTGCTGAAGGGCCGTCGCAGGCGGGAGGCCTCTCCTTAGGCCAGGAGCAAGCGAAGCAGAGAGGCAGGGGGACGAAGGAACGCGGCAGGGCTGCTGCGCGACCGAAGCCAGCTCCTTCTTCGTCTCCTCCTCCTCCTCCTCCTCCTCCTCCCCCTCCTCCTCCTCCTCCTCCTCCTCCTCCTCCCCCTCCTCCTCCTCCTCCTCCTCCTCCTCCACCTCCACCTCCTCCTCCTCCTCCGCCTCCGCCTCCGCCTCCGCCTCCGCCTCCTCCTCCTCCACTCCCTCAGAGCAGAAGAGACATGCTTGGCGCCGTTGCGCCCGAAGCCCTGTGGCCCAGGCCTCTACTCAGCCACGCGTACAGAAGAATCGCCGTGCAAATGGGAGGGACCTGAGTGGGGGCCGTCCGATGCTGAGCTCAAGCGACCCCCCCGCACAGCTCGGAGGGACCTGAGCGGGGGCCGTTCGAAGCACAGCCCAACCGACCTCCCAGACGGCCAACCTTTGAACATACACGTCTCGGCTGCGACGCTCGGGCAGCTGAGGGAGCGAGAGCGAGACGACGTGCAGATAGTCGGCATCGTTGGACCTGTCCCCATGCCCCCTGGGAGAACCTTGGCCCCACTGTCGCAGAGGCGGAGGCAAATTCCCTCTCCGTCTGGTCTCGCGGCGTCCATCCCCACCTCGACGGGATAGGCAGGCGGCGTCGAGGAACCCTGGTCGTCGCAGAAGTTCCGTTTTGAGTGAACCTCGTTCAGCCGGCGTGTGACAGCTGCCGAGAGCACGTGGTGTACAGCTGCAGCGGGAACGGAGTGTGGCTAAACAGAGCAGGTCCAGAGGCCAGAGGCCGACTGCGCTGAGGGTGGGGACCAGTCGGACGATGCTGAGAGCGAGTCGCACCCTGCAGGGACGCACTGCCACTTTGGCCGAGGATCGGTTCATCGCGCCGCCCTCCAAGGTGGCAGCTCCGAGGACCAGCGCTGCCCACCCGCCACTCGGGCCGCGGGTCATCGGAGGGAGGAGGAGGACGAGGAGGAGGAGGAGGAAGAGGAGGAGGAGGAGGAGGAGGAGGAGGAGGAGAAGAAGAGGAGGAGACCCCCCTCGGGAGCAGCGGCAGCAACTGCGCAAGAGGCGACGAGAGAGGACTGAGAGGGCAGAGGGGAAAGGGGGGGTCCTGCCTCGCGCCGTCCGCCGTCACCAGCCCCCCTGTCCAGTGCCCCCTCCCCCCTGCACCTCGACGCTCCCCTCCTCCACAGCAGGAGGACGAGGGAGGATATCGAGGAGGAGGAGGAGGAGGAGGAGGAGGAGGAGGTGGAGGAGGAGGAGGAGGAGGAGGAGGAGGAGGAGGAGAAGGGGGAGGAGGAATGAGGAGAGAGGGGAGGGGGAAGGGAGTGGGAGAGGGGGGGATTTGGAGGAGGAGGAGGGAGGGAGAGAGAGGGGAGAGAGGATGATAGACCAGCAGCAGCAGCAGCAGCAGCAGCAGCAGCAGCATCAGCATCAGCATTAGCAGCAGCAGCAGCAGGAGGGACCAGCACCAGCAGAAAGAGGAAGCAGCAGCAGAAGGAGGAATCAGCAGCAGGAGAGCAGAGGGAGGAGGAGTGGGCAGGACACCCGAGAGGACGAGGAAAATGCAGAGAGAGGAGGAAGGAGGTAGTGGGGGAAAGAAAGGGAGGGAGAGAGGCGGAGGAGCAAGAGAGGGAGGAGGAGGATGGGAAAGTAAGAGGAGGGAGCAGGCAGGAGGAGGATGGGGAAGAGGTGGAGAACGACGATGGCGCCGATGACAGCCCAGCCCCTGGGCCTGGCAAGCTCGATTGCGTTCCTGAGGTCCAGGAGCTCGCAGGCAGGGTCGTCGCCGCAGTCCACGGACAAGATCCTGAGCTGCAGGAGAAGGGAGGGCAACCAGCACGACCGGGCCCTGGCCAAGATCTTGGTGAGCATTACCACCAGCCAGGCCGGCAACGTAAACCCCCCTCGAGCAGATCAAAAGATCTCCCAAGTGGGCAGCAGAGGCAGAACGAGAAGGCGGTGAGGCGGAGAGGGGGAGGAGGAGGAGGAGGAGGAGGAGCAGGAGCAGGAGCAGGAGGAGGAGGAGGAGGTGAGGAGGAGGAGGAGGAGGAGGAGAAGCAGGAGGAGGAGGAGAGGAAAAGGAGGGGGAGGGAGAGCAGGGAGGAGGAGGGAGGAGGAGGAGGAGGGGGAGGAGGAAGAGGAGGAGGAGGAGGAAGAGGAGGAGCAGGAGGAGGAGGAGGAGGAGGAGGAGGATCTTGATGCTCACGTCGCAATTCTCCTGTGCGGGCCCACGGTGCAGCGGGAGCGGAGGCGGAGCAGCCGCAGCTGAGGATAAGCCGACGGCGTGGGGAGCATGGGCAGCCGGTGAGGCCCCCACCCCGCGGCAAGGACCCTCGTCCCTCGGGCCCTCCTGGTGCAGATCTGCCTGGCGCTGCTGGCACCCGCAGCAGCAGGCGCAAGGGGGCCGAGCCGGAGCGGGCCGTGGAGGACCCAGGACGATTGCGACGCCATGACCACCTATGCGACGCCAGGATCTCGGGGTCATAGCTCGGGCCTCTGGGAGCAGCCTTCGGGCGGAAGTCCCTGGGAGCGCTCTCCCAGAGAGGCCGGGGCTGCCACCCCGAAGCCGGATCACCGCGCGGAGAACACAGGGCATCTCCCGAACACTTCAAGGGGAACACCGCGGAGAACCCAGGAAATCACCCGAAAATCTCGGGGACTTCCCCCTCCTCCTCCTCCTCCTCCTCCTCCTCCTCCTCCTCCTGCTCCTCCTGCTCCTCTCCCTCCTCTCCTCCTCCTCCTCCTCCCCTCCTCTCTTTCCTCTTCCTCTTCCTCTTCCTCTTCCTCTTCCTCCTCCTCCTCCTCCTCCTCCTCCTCCTCCTCCTCCTCCTCCTCCTCCTCCTCGTCCTCCTTCTCCTCCTCGTCCTCCTCCTCCTCCTCCTCCCTTTCCTCCTCCTCCCTTTCCGCCGCGTGGGGCACTGGGCCGAGCGGGCCCCGCGGGCGACGGCGGCGGCGGCGACGCGCTCGGACGCTGCAGGACCCCTCCCCCGGGGAGGTCCAGCGCCGCCGCCTGCGGAGCAGCTGCACCACCCCGAGGTCCTCCAGGGGGCCCCCGTCCGTCAGGTACAGGTACCTCGGGGGTGGATGGGGAGGCAGGGGGGGTGGCTGGGAGGGCGGTGCGAGGGGGAGGAAGAGGAGGAGGAGGAGGAGGAGGAGGAGGAGGAGGGGGAGGAGGAGGAGGAGGAGGAGGGGGAGGGGGAGGAGAAGGAGAAGGAGGAGGAGGAGGAGGAGGAGGGGGAGGAGGAGGAGGAGCAGGAGGAGGAGGAGGAGAAGGAGAGAGGGAGGGAGTGAGACAGGGACGGATGCCGAGGAAAGGGAACCTGTCCTCCTCCGCCATGTCCTCCTCCGCCATGTCCTCCTCATCGTCTTCCTCTTCCTGTTTTCTTCCTCAACCTCTTCCTTTTCCTCTGACTCTTATTCCTCATCATCATCCTCATCTTCCTAATCGTCATCATCAGCATCATCATCAGCATCATCATCGGTATCATCAGCATCAACATCATCATCAGCATAATCATCACCAGCATCCTCGACTGCGTCACTTTCATAATGTTCCCCTCCCCTACTGATGATCACCACCACAACAAACATTAGCAGCATCACCTCTGATACAACCACCACCACAATAGTAGTCGTCGTCATCATCATCGTCGTCATCAACAACATTACCATCATCATCAGCAGCAGCATCGTCATCACCGCCTTCATTACCATCATCATTGTCATCGTCGTAACCGTCGTCGCCGTTGTCGTCGTCATCATCAGCATGAGCACAACAATCGACATACTCGCCATCATCATCACCATCACCATCAGGATCACCATCATCATCATTACCACCATTGTCACCATGATCATCATCACCATCACCAGTGTCATCAGTGAGAACTGATCATCAATTCAACACCTCGTTTCATATTCAACATCCTGAAAAGCATCAGTATCATTACCACCATCATCAGCTCCACAACCACCATCATGCTCCTACTCATCACCATCATCATCACCTGCACAGCACCACCCTCATCTCCATCATATCATCATCACCAACATCGTCATCAACAGCATTATCAACACCATCAGCATAAGCATCGTCATCATCATGGCCACCACCATGATCACCAAACTAACCATCATGACCAGCATTATCTTTATCTATATCCTCACCCTCTTCATTACCATCATCACCGTCATCACCAGCATCATCATAAACGGTACTATCTCCATCATTCAGCAACCCACCCAAGCCATATATCGATCGATTTTGCGTTCGCATGCCAGGCAACCGCTCACGACGACGGACTGGCTAGCGCCGAGGATCAGTCGGCAGCGGAAGAGGGAAGGGAGCAGGGAGGAGGACACTACCACCGACCAGGAGCGAAGGGAGATGGACAAACCCAAGTCCCAGGAAGGCTTCTGGCCGAAGACCGACAAAACTGTTTAATAACTACACGATTCGCTGCTGAACGCTCGCCTTGCGGCGCTCCTGAAGCACTGCGTTCTCGGCCGACACCTGCTCCGCGGCCGACTCCTGCTCCTGGCGCAAGGTGATTCCCTGGGCGCTTTGCAACCCCATGAAGGAACACCCCTCGTCGTGATCCTGATGCCGAATCCCGGTCGCGCTGAGGATGCGGCCATCGAGCATCTCCTTGCACAGCGCTGAGCTCGATCGAGGCGAGGTTGCCAGCATCGACCTGGTCGTATACCACCGCAGTCTGGAGGATATTAGACAGCTCCGAATGGAGCAGCATGGCGGGGTCGTCGGGCCCGAGGCGGCAGGCGGAGCAGAAGGCGATGTGGCCGCCGTTCTCTAGAACGAAGCTCGCGCACCATTGAACCGCGCACGGGCCAGGCGCGACCCAGTCAGGCCAAGAGTGAAGGCGCATCGCCTCGACCGCGCCGCGGAACTCCTTGTGGAATTCGCCCTCGGCGTCGACCGTAGGACACCGCCAAGGTGCGGAAGTCGCCGCTGGCGACCGCTGGCGCTGGGTCCAAGCCAGCTGTGGGCGCCGCGTGGAGACCTCCATGTCCTGCGGCATCACCGCCTGCTGCGCCGGCCGCGGGGCAGGGGCTGGCCATGCAGGGGCGGCCCTGGCTGCAGCAGCCATTCCGCTGGGCCTCGGGGCTGTCGCGGGCCTGGGACCAGCAAGGCCGCCAGACCTAGCCAGGGCGGTAGCGAGGCCTGCGACCACGCCTGCGGCGGCGGCCTCAGGCGGCGGTCCGGGTTTGGCGCCCGCGGCGGCACCAGCACCGGCGCTGGCCCTGGCAGAGACGACGGCGTACCCGACCCCTGCACTGGCCAGCGCGGCGTCGCGCTCGGAGACCAGCCGGGTGACGGCGGGGCGCAGCGCGGCGAAGTCAGCCAGCGTGAGCGGGGCCGCGAAGCCGCACACGGGGATCCCGCCTGCGGCTGTCGGGGGCATCCTCCAGCAACGCGACGATGCAAGGTCCGGATGTCGGTGTGGCCTGCACCCAACCAGCTCCTCCACGTAGAGGTCGTCGCTCGGGGTGACGACCACACAGTCCGTCGGGCGAAGCTGTGGCAGGGCCGCCACAGCACGACCATGAAGCAACGGGGGTTGCGCTACCCGAGGAACTAACTCATCACCTTCAATCGTCTATACACGCCGTCGCCTCGCGGCTGCGCGTGCTGCAAGGGCGCCTGGCTCCCAGCCGGCGGCGCGGACGGCGCTGCTGAGCGGGCCGCCGGGCCCATTCACCAGCCAGCGGAGACTCTCCACGAGCAGCGGGCCTGCGAGCGAGAGGATCACCCGCTGGAGCGACGCCTGCTCGGGCGGCGGTGCGCCGGCCGAGCAGTGCTGGAGCACGGCAGCGCCCTCCTCCGCCGAGGGCGCGCGCTGCTCAGCGGAAGGCTCCGCGCACCACAGACCCCCGACGTCATGATTTTTTCATGACGTCGACCCCCAGAGGTCTGGACCCATTCCCCAGGACCGGCTTTCCGTCCCGAGTCATTTTTTGACGCTCCCGAGGGCCGGTAAGGGCCCCCAGAGTCCAAAAATAATGAAAAACCTCCCGTCGTGATTCTTTCATGACTCGCGGGGGTCTGGGACGGCGGAGGTGGCGGTAACCGGGAGGCGCAGTCCTCGGCCGAGGGCGCCGCCGGCTCTGGGGTAGCCTCCGCGGCCGGCGGAGGGTCGGAGGGCGGCGGTGGCTCGGCCGGGGAGCGCTGGTGCCGGTCGGGCCCAGGGAAAGCCCCGCCTCGAGGAAGACGGTGGAAGCAAGGCTTGCTTCCCTGGCCGAGTCTCGAGGGAAGAGGTGGTAGAGCAGGAAGGCATGCTCATCTTACGAGCGGTGCTCTTCTGTAGTCGGCACGCGGATTACAGAGGGTACGGTTGGCCCAAGGCAGCTGGCGGCTCTCATCTTACTTCTGGAATAAAGAATGGGGAGCGGCCATAATCATCATCATCAGCAGCATCATCATCAAAATCAACATCATCATCATCATCATCATCATCATCATCATCATCATCATCATCATCATCATCATCATCATCTGCACCATCATCATCATCATCATCATCATCAGCATCATCATCATCATCATCATCATTATCATCATCATCATCATCATCATCATCTGCACCATCATCATCATCGTCATCAACATCATCATCATCATCATCATCGTCATCCTCACCAGCATCATCATCATCAACAGCAACACTATCATGAGCATACGGATCATCATCATAATATGTCTCAACATCTTCATAACCATCATCATCAACATCAACGACATCACCATCATCATCCTTATCCTCATCCGCATCATCATCAGCAGCATCAGCATCACCAGCATCATAGTCCGCATTATCATCACCATCATCAACATCATCATGAGCAGCATCATCATCATCCGCATCAGCATCAGCATCATCATCTACATCGACAGCATCATAGTCGTCAGCAGCAACAGCAGCATCAGCATCCATCTTCAACATCATGATCACCATCATCATCAACATCAACATCAACACCATCATCTGCACCATCATCAGCATCATCAACATAATCAGCATCAACATCAGCATCATCAACATCATCAACATCATCATCATCATCCTCATCATCATCATCATCCTCATCATCATCATAATCATTCGCATCCGCTTCCTCCTATCACCATCCATTTCCTCCTCATCCTGCTGCTGCTGCTTTTGCTGCCGGTCCTCCTCTTCCCCCTCCTCCTCCTCATCCTGCTCCTCCTCTTCATCCTCCTCTTCATCATCCTCCGCCTCCCTCATCATCATCATCATCCCCTCCTCCTCCTCCTCCTCCTGCATCTCCTTCTCCGCCTCCTCCTCCTCATCAGCTTCTGTCTCCTCCTATTTCTCTTCCTCCTCCTCCTCCTCCTCCTCCTCCTCCTCCTCCTCCTGCCTCCTCCTCCTCCTCCTCCTCCTCCTCCTCCTCCTCCTCCTCCTCCCTCTCTCCTCCCTCCCTCCCTCCCTCCCTCCCACCCCTCCTCCTCCTCCCCTCCCTCCCCCCCTCCTCCTACCTCCTCCTCCTCCTCCTCCTCCTCCTCCTCCTCTGTCTTATCCTCTCCTGCCCCACCCCCAATGCAGCCGTTGCCGCTCCCCCCGCTGCTCCCCTCCTCCAGCTGCCAGCCGGCGCCTCCCCCACCTTCCTCGCGCCGCCGCCCTCCCCGCAGCCCCCCCCCGCGGGGGACCGCGGAGGAGGAGGAGGAGGAGGAGGAAGGAGGAGGAGAGGGGAGGAGGAGGAGGAGGAGGAGGAGGAGGGGAAGGACCGCCCCCCCGCGGGGGACCGCGGCGGAGACGTGCCCAGCCGGTGCAGCAGCAGGAACATGTGGATCTGCCGCACGAGCGGCGAGGCCATGACCCAGGAGCAGGCGCGCAGGTGCGGGAAGAAGCTCAGCACGCCCACGAAGACCCAGGAGGGGGGGGAGCTGGGGGGGGGAGGGGGGAGGGGGAGGAGAGGAGGAGGAGGAGGAGGAGGAGGGAGGAGGAGGAGAGGAGGAGGAGGAGGAGGGGGAGGAGGGGGAGAGGAGGGGGAGGAGGAGGAGGAGGAGGGGGAGAGGGAGGAGGAGGGGGAGGAGGAGGAGGAGAAGAAAAAAGAGGAGGAGGAGGAGGAGGAGGAGGAGGAGAGGAAGGAGGTAGAGGGTGGTGCAGCAGCCACACGTTGCCCTCGACCCTCGAGGATCCATTGGGGGAGGGACGGGGGCGTCCCGTAAGGTGCGGGCGGTGCAATAGCCTCGTTGGGTTCGTAGCCTCGTCGCGGGTGGCTCTTCTCTCCCGGCCCCTGGCCCGGCCTGTTGCCTGCCTGCTGCTCCCCTCCTCTCTCCCTCCCTCTCCGGGCGGCACAGCCTGCCCAGGGTGTTTGTCTACCGCCGCCTGTCCAGCCTTGTGGTGGGTGTACTCTCGGGAGCCCGCCACTCGGACCCCGTACAGGGTGGCGCGCGCTGTACCCGCGGGAGGCGCTACCCACCACGTGTCCGCCTCGGAGGAGCTTACCACTTGTATGCTCCTCCGCCCTCCGTTTGTGTAGGCGTAGCGGCCTCACATCGGTAGATGACATTGTTCCAGGACGGTGCTTGCTCGATTCGAGCAATGGTGTTTGTGTTGGGCGTTTGGGTGTGGGTGCCATTACATATCGATCCGGCTCGAAAAACGGTCCAGGGCTCCACCTGCGGTCTTTTGCGATTGGGCACTTCCCAGCCATCACGTGGTGTCGGGTCACAATTTTGAAGAGCCATCGCCCCGCGTTCTCCTCCTCCTCCTCCTGCTCCTCCTCATTCCGTCTCCTCCTCCTCCCCATCCTCCCTCATTCCGTCTCCTCCCGCCTCCCATCCGTGCATCTGCCCTCATTCCGGTTCACCCCTCACAGGTTTCGTGGCCCCATAGGGCAGCCCCAGCGAATGCCCCACTGGCAGCGTCCGCATACAGTTCCACTCTCCATTTCGGACGCAGCACCCCTCACAAGTTTCGTGGCCCCATTGGGAGCTCCACCTGAGGCCCCAGCGGCTCAGGCCACATGTCGGTGCACCCCTCACACGCGTCGCGGCCCCAAAGTGAGCTCCGCCGAAGGCCCCAGTGGATGCGCCCGCATGCGGTTCCGCTCTCTATTGTGGCACACCCCTCACACGCTTCGTGGCATCACAAGGAGCTCCACCTGAGGCCCCTGGCACACTCCTCACACGCTTCGTGGCCTCATGGGGAGCTGCCCGTGTTGCTAGCCCCCCTCCGTCATCTCATTCCCCCCGCGATGCTCGAAGGCCCCAGTGGCAGCGCCCGCATGGTGTCCCAGCCAGACGTCGGCAGAACATTTACGCGCTTCGTGGCCCCGTATGGAGATCCACCGAAGGTAATACTCACAACGACGGTACTCACAACTGCAAATTGTTGGGACCTTCGCCAGGCTTATTCTTCGCAACGTCGGATCTTAGGGGAGGGCGGGTTTGGGAGGGAGGAGGCGGGAGGGGACAAACTAGGCGCGCTCGCGCCATACCTGACATGCTACCCCTCTTGACCACCCCTTCCCGTTGCGCCGACACAGTTTCTGTTCGCCGACTCGGTTGCTGCAAATGATCTTGATCTCCGATATGGTCCCATTATTGTTTGATGCGCAATCGGCAGGGAGGTGGGGGTTGTACATCGCACAGAGGAGGTGGCGGATGAGCAGGATGAGAGCAGAAGGGCAGCAGAATGATGAGTATGGAGGAAGAGCAGCAGCAGCAGGAGCAGGGGAAGACGGAGGAGGGAAAAGGAGCTGGACGGCAGCGGCGAGGAAGGGAAAAGATCCCGCATGTGGCCCGTTCTGCGGCGAGAGCGCAAATCCGAATGTCCGGAGCAAGGCACCGATCCTGAAATGCGGCCAAGGCAGTAGCGGGAACACATGTTGCAAGAGAGTCTAGCGGTGCCTGGGAACACCATATGAGGGAGGGGGGGGAGGGACGGACAAGATAGCATCAGGGGAGAGAGGAACATATAATTCAGATTGTGAAATTGTGGAGGTGGGAGGGAGGGAGGAGGGAGACGGGGGATGGAGGGGGCAGGGAGGACGGATGAATGGGGGAGGAAGGAGCATTGGGGGAGGTCAGCTCAAAGGCTTGTAAATGTCGGTGTGCAACCACATGCCGACACTGGCTACGTAGACTTCTTCGGGATGGTACCGAGAACTTGGACCCTGGAGGAGAAGGAGAAGGAGGCCGGCGAAGAAGGGCACTCTGTGTTTCCCAAGCGTTACCGTTGTTCGGTTCTAAGGAAACTGACCTGTCCGTCAGTCTGGCGGCCACGTAGCTGCCGTCGCCGCCTCGTCGCCGCCCGTCGTCTGGGCCTGTCGGTCGGTCTGGCAGCTATGTAACCGCCGTCGCCGCCCTGTCTCCGCCTCGTCGCCGCCCATCGTTTGGGCCTGTCTGTCGGTCGCCGCGCCGCGTTTGTCGCCGCCGTCGTCGCCCCATCGCCGCCCCACATCGATTCCATAACTTAGTTGGCACACCGCGACATTTACAGCACAAATTGCACCACACAGGTTGCACCACGTAGATTGCACAAAAAAGATTGCACACCAAGCGGTGCACGACATAATTTGCAAAACATCGATTGCACCACCTGTGATGCTCCGTATATATTGCACATCATGTATTGTACCTCGTACAGATCGCCCGAAAATGCTGCACAACGTTGTTTGCACGACCTATGTTGCACCACATAGATTGCTCCGCATGTATTGCACAACCTGTGTTGCACCAAAAATTCGGCACCACATGCATTGCAGAACATACGTTGCACAACCTATTCCTTAACATACATTGCACAGCCTATATTGCATGAACCCTTGACACGCAGATTGCACCACAAACGTTGCACCACACAAAGTGAACAACAGATACTGCACACCATATGTTGCACAACAGAGGTGGCCCAACATTGTCTATACACCATACGTTGCGCAACCTTTTATTCTCCTTTCCAATAAAAGAATAGACCCTAACCCCCCCACTGGCGTTCGCCGCCCCCCTTTCGGGTATGTAAATCATTTATGGCTCTGACCAAGTGTCCATCCGAAATATGAATTTACACGATCCCCGGGGAACCGGTATCGGTTCCCCTGAGGGTCCCCTGTAAAAAAAACGATACGCGGGGACATTTTTTACTCGAACCTAAGACTTGTTCATGAATCCCTTGCAAAAGATGGGGCGAAGTGCGCACGCGCGCGTCGTCGCGCGCGCATGCCGAAATCCTTCAGAAACCCTCGGTGTCGGAAGGATTTCGCAACCGAGTTCCCAAAAAACATACACAAACACAAGGTTTCGCAACACTGATTTGCAACCAAAAAACTTACGCGCGAGCTCGTGCGAAATCTTAAGAAAACCATGCGTTGTTCAAGATGTTTACAAAATGCTACCAAACGGGCTTCGCGCGCCCGCATGTCGAAATCTGTCGAACGCCCTTGCGCGTGTGCCGTCGCGAGAGTCCTCTGCAAAAAACTGAGACGAAGTGCGCACGCGCGCGTCGTCGCGCGCGCATGCCGAAATCCTTCAAAACCCATCGGTTTCGGACGGATTTCAAAATCGTGTGTCCAAAAAACCTACGAAAACATCAGGTTTCGCAACACTGATTTTCAATAAAAGCATACGCCTGCGCTCTTGCGTCGTCGTCGTCGTCGTCGCCGTCCTCCCTCCTCGCGCGTAGTCGTCGTCGTCGTCGCCTGCATCGTCCTCTGTCTTTCCTCGTGTTCGTCTTCGTCGTCCTTTTTGGCGTCGTGGTCGTTTCCGTCGTCGTTGTCGCCGTGGTCGTCCTTTCTCCTCCTCCCTCGTCGTCGTCGTCGTCCGTCGTCGGCGTCTCGCCGTCGTCCCTCCTATTTCGTCGCCGTCGTCGTCGTCGTTGTCGTCGTCGTCTTCTTCCCTCCTCCCTCGTCGTTGTCGTCGTCGGCGTCGCCGTCCTTCCTCCTTCTTCGTCGTTCGCGTCGTCGCCGTCCTCCCTCCTCCCTCGTCGTTGTCGTCGTTGTCGTCGTTGTCGCCGTCGTCGTCCTTCCCTTCCCCCCTCGTCGTCGTCTTCGTTGGCGACGTCGTCGTCGTCGTCTTCGTCGTCGTCGGCGGCGTCGGCGTCGTCGTCGTCTTCGTCGTCGTCGACGTCGGCGTCGTCGTCGTCGCCGCCGTCGTCGTCGTCGTCGTTGACGTCGTCGTCGTCGTCGTGGTCGTCGTTGTCGTCGTCGTCGGCGTCATCGTCGTCGTCGTTGTCATCGTCGTCGTCGTCGTCGACATCGGCGTCGTCGTCGTCGTCGGTGTCGTCGTCGTCGTCGTCGTCGTTGTCGGCGTCGTCGAAGTCGTTGGAGACGTCGTTGGTGTCGTCGTAGTCGTTGTCGGCGGCGTCGTCGTCGTCGTTGTCGCTGTCGTCGTCGGCGTCGCTGTCGCTGCCAAGTGCCACGCGGTACCCACCGTCACGGTCTTAAGAGATGTTGCAAACCAAGTTGCGGGTTGGTGCGTGGGATGTTTGCGCGAGCAGTGGAGGTGGTCAAGCGCGGTGCAGGGTAGTCAGTTCTCCTTTCTAAAAAAAAGAATAGACTCTACCCCCCCCCGGCGCTCGCCGCCCCCCTTTCGGGTATGTAAATCATATATGATTCTGACCACATGTCCATTCGAAATATGAACTTACACGATCCCCGGGGAACCGGTATCGGTTCCCCTGAGGGTCCCCTGTAAAAAAACGATACGCGGGGACATTTTTTACTCGAACCTAAGACTTGTTCATGAATCCCTTGCAAAAGATGGGACGAAGTGCGCATGCGCGCGTCGTCGCGCGCGCATGCCAAAATCCTTCACAAACCCTTGGTCTCGGAAGGATTTCGCAACCGAGTTCCCAAAAAACATACACAAA